CACGAAGTCTGATATCAACAATAATAGGGGTGATGTAGAAGTTGACCGTAAACCTTACAAATTACTTTGAGTGTTCATGACTTCAGTAGAGGTGATGACTGCAGATGGTAGAAATAGCAAGACAACGAGAATTAGATTTAAAACCTGAAACTGTGATCGAATTGTTGCCACCTCATGATACACTTTAATGGATAAGAGGTTATTCTTATGGATTGTCAAAGAAAGTGGTTCAATGACATGGAATGTACTCCTAGTGAAGATGCTGTGGAGACTGTTGAAATGACAACAAATATTTAGACTATTATGTAATCATTGCTGCAATAAAACAGCAGTTGTCGGTGAAAGAATTGATTCCAATTATGAAGAAGTTCTACTGTGGGTAAAATGCTACCAAACAGCATTGCATGCTTCAGAGAAATTGTTCATGAAAGGAAAAGGCAACCAATATGGCGACCGTCATCATTATCTTGCTTTAAGAAATTAATGTCGCAACTCCAACCTTCAGCAGATTTTTCTTCCCTTCTCCCTCAGTGGTTCCGGGGACTGTCACCTTCTCATTTCTTGGTTCTGTGAGCTCCTCAGTCATCAGGCCCCGGAGTCCTGGGTAAAAGGCCCAGGCGGGGTTCCAGGAGGAGAGCCCGGAGGAAGTGGCTCCCCACAGCCCTGCGGGGAGAGCCCTGGGCTATTTTTAAACCTAAGCAGCGGGGTGCTCTGATCCAAACCCCGAGGCAGCGTCCACATTCGAGGGGCAGCTTTAAGGGCGCCCCGTCTCCCCAGAACCTGAGATCACATTCTTTTCTTACCGAGATATAATTGACATCCAGCATTGTTACTTTCAGGAGAGCATCACAATGAGTCAATGCCTGAATATATTGCAAAATTATTACCGCGGTGAGTCTAGGTCACGCCCATCAATGGGCGCCTAGGCTGCTGCGGTGAACACGGGGGTGCAGAGATCTTTTCAAGTGCATGTTTTCATTTTCTTTGGATAAATACCCAGAAGTGGGATTGCTGGGTCGTACGGTAGCTCTGGTTTTAATTTTTCGAGGAAGCTCCACGTGTGTTCCGCAGCGGCCGCACCACTTTACACTCCCACGAGCCGTGCACGAGGCTCCCTTCCCCCCGCGCCCTCGCCAGTCCGTTCACAGCCAGTCGCCATCCTGACAGGTGTAAGGGGATATGTCACTGTGGTTTTGATTGGCATTTTCCTGATTAGTAACATTGAGCATCTTTTCATATACCTGTTGACCATTTGCATTTCTTTGGAAAAATGTCTATTCAGATCCTCTGCCCACTTTTTGAAAGTGGGATTGCTTTTAGTTTGTTTGTTTGTTTGTTTTGCTCTTGTGTGAGTTCTTTATATGTTTCGGATATTAACTCATTATCAATATTTGCTCCCGTTCAATAGGCTGCCTTTTCATTCTGCTGACCCTTGCTTTGCTGTGCAGCTTCTCTGCCCTGTAGGGTCGTGGCCCCGACAGTCCCGGGGTCATGGGAAGGGACAAGGAGGGCTGGAGGATAGAGAAGTGACAGGGACCAATGGGATGTAGGCATGGGTAAGAAGGGCCTCATCGGCGGTGGCTCAGAGATTTCTTGCCTGCCTGGGGATGTGAGGGGCTGTCCCCTGGGTGAGGGGACATGGCCGGGGTGGGTATGGCAGGTGGCAGGTGGCCGTGTGGGGAGGGGGAGCAGCGGGCTGGGGGAGGGCGGGTGCCGAGCTGGCCTGGAGCGGGGTGGGCAGGGGAGGAGGGCACCTGAGTGAGGCCAGCCTGGCATGGCAGGCCCTGGCTTTCCGTTCTGAGCTGCCGGCTGGCCGGCCCCGGCCAGGCTCCCAGTAGCCAGGATGCACCTGGTGACTCCGGGCCCTGGGAAACAAGGCAGGGCACGGGGGACAGTGACGACAGACAACGGCTGTGGTAGACGTCACAATTCTTCACCCCGTGCATTCTTTCTTCGGTCTGGGAGCGGGGGGCTGTCCTGTGTCACAGGTGAGGGGGCTGTGGCTCAGACACCTTCAGGGGCTCCCAGGGTCACAGAACTCGGACCCCGGTGGCCGTGCCTATGCTGGGTGCAGAGGGCGACAGGGCTCCTGGAGGGCAGGAGTGTTACCCCTGGTGGCCTCCGATGTCCCACAGCGTCAGGCCTTCCAGGCGAACATGCTGTGCAGTTTGTAACCAGGTCCTCACGCACACATTCGCACATCACCGGGAGCCTGGCCGGAGACGCCCTGTTCTCCTTTCGCAGATGGGGACTGGGGGCTCCGAGAGGTGGTATTGGGACCGGAGGTGGGGCTCACTGCACGGTGCCCGAGGGTCTCCCCAGACGAGCTGGGGACTCGCCCTGGCCTCCTGCAGCCTCCTGGAGGCTGTGGAGCTGTGAGTGGCCAGCAGGGGAACACAAGTTGCAGGTGTTCTTCCAGAGCCTGAAGAGGTCCGGCGAATATTTGTACACCTATTTTTATAGCAGTATTATTCACCATAGCTAAAACATGGAAGCAACCTAAGTGTACATTGACTGATGAATGGATAAGTTGAGGGGCTCATGTGTACCAGCCCCTGCCCTGTGCCAGCGCCCCGCTGCCTGTCCCCTCCCCTGAAAGCCGTCCCTCTGCTCGCCAGGGCAGGGCGGCCGGCTGTCAGTGGGCGGGCTCACACCTCACCACCTGCCACACATCTGCAGGCCCTTTTGGCCTCTGGACACGCTCTTGCCCCCGCCAGGTGGCCCCCGGCAGTCCCTGAGCAGCGTCCAGGCCCAGGGCCAGTGTCCTGTTGTCCCCCACGCCCCACGTCCTTCCGCTGGGGTGAGATCCCCCACCTCCATGCTTGTCTCATGCTGTCTGGCGTCTGTCCTCCAGCGTTAGCCGAGCCTGTACCATGAGCTGGGTGGCACACACCGCGCTGGCCACTCCGCCCGCAGCGGTGAGGGAAGCCGACACCCCGTGCTCACAGAGACTGCCCTCCGGGGGGTGGGGGGGACACACACTGAGCACACAGGACACTGTCGAGGGCAGGGGTGAGGGGGGCCCAGGCTCTGCCCTTCCTGCTCAGCTGGTCCCAGCTCAAGGGCAGGCCCGGTGCCCAGGTCTCAGGAGACATCTGTGGAACAGCTGATTAGCTGCATCACCTTGGTGACTGGCGGCAGTCAGACGGGCAGACCGTCAATCATGTGTCCAGGTGCCCATGACGCTCGATCATATCTGTACCCCAAGCTCTCACAGGGCCTGGAATACTGAAATAGGTAGCTCATAAATTAAAGGGTGACGTACGGGTGTGGTGAAAATGAGAACAGCACAAAAAGCCGTCTAGGGAAAAGCGATCGTGCTGCCCCCTCGTCCCCCCCGCCCCCTGGGCTCCTCGTTTTCGGCGTGCACGTGCACCTGCGCGCGCGCGTCTGGCCGCCCTGACACCGCCTCTGCCCGCAGGTGTCCGTGCTGGTCTTCTTCGCCCTGGCCTTCCTCACCTGCGTCGTCTTCCTGGTGGTGTACAAGGTGTACAAGCACGAACGCCTGTGCCCTGATGGGTCCATCCTCAAGGTAAAGCCCGCCCCTCCCCACCCCGCCCCAGACGCCTCCGCACCCTGCGTCTCCCGTGACCTCGCAGCACCTGCGGGCCAGGCAGGCATCCGAGTGGCGGGGCTGGCACCCGCCCCGCCCTCCCGCTGCTGCACCGGGGGCCACGCTCGTGGGGGGTCTTTGCGGGTGTGACGCCTGATCCACAGAGCTGTGCCTGGCACACAGCACACGCGGACAACGGGGTGGGGGGGCGAAGATAAAGGGGGGATGCGTGCGGCGAGGAGGCCGGGAGGGGGATGCGTGCGGCGAGGGCGCGCTCCATTCCCGCACACCCGGCCTCGGCCCCGCACCGCGCCGCCTTCTGAGCTTCCCGGGACTGGGCGTCTCCGAAGTCACAGCAGGAGAGCCCAGCGTGGCGAGGAAAGGCCTGGTCTGTCCTCGGTCACTGGTGGCTTTGGTCTGGGTGTCGCCGAGGTGAGGTGGCAGGGCCCTCGCCGAGACAGCAGGCGAGGCTGGAATCCACCTCCCCGGCCCCCTGAGCCTCTTCCGCCTCCGTCCGGGGTACTGAGGGCTCCGTGAGTCATCTCTCCTCCCCGCAAGTGCGTGCTGTGCCTGCCACATGCAGGTCACTGCAGCTGGAGCACCGCAGGAGCCAGTCGGGTAAAGGGCTGCCTTTGCGAAGCTCCCCGACGTCCTCAGAAGAAACACGGAGGCATTGTTACGGAGTCAGAGAGTCGCGAGCACAGGAAATGGAAACGCAGAGCAGGATGGGGCCGCGGCTTCTAGAAGGGGGGCCGAGTTTGAGTAGGAAGCTTATGAGGAAGCCTTCGGGGACCTGGAGAGGCACATGTGGGCAGAGAGAAGCCGCTGTCCACGTCCCGGGCAGGTGCTGGAGGAGTCTGGGGTCAGCTGGGAGGCTTATAAGTTTAGACAAAGCTGACCCAGGGGGCTCTGAAGACGGGTGGGCTGGCCCTGGCCGAGCGAGCCCGCGGGCAGACACTGCAGGCCGGCCGGGCCGAGCCGGTGGGGGAGGAGGGCGTGCTGGGCCGGCCTGGCGGTGGGAGGCAGTGGGAGATGAGCCGGCTGTGGCCAGACCAGAGAGCCTGGCAAAGGCCCCCAGGGGAGCAGAAGTGATGGCATGGTCACTCGGGTGGCCTGGGGAGGCTGGAGGTCGGAGGGGAGCAACAGGAGGTCGTGAGATGCCCCAGGAGGCTGCTGCTATGGACTAGGGAAGAGGTGAGGGTCTGGACTGGTCAGGTACTAGGGACCGAGAGGGGGAAACCATGTGACATTGGGCTGGAGACAGGGGAGGGATGAGGTGAGGGCCTGGCCCAGAGCAGGCGGCTCAGAGGGGCTGTCGTCGTGGGGCTGGAGGTCCCCATCCAGACAGACCGCTCACAAAGAACGGGCAGCAGCCCCGCCAGGAGGGGCCGGGTTTCCCTCTCGCCTCGTTCTCTCCACCTGGAGGAGGGGCGGGCTCGGCACCTGGACCAAGTGGAGTCGGGAGAGGGGTCCCCGGTTCTCAGATGCAGCAGTGCCAGAGGGGTGGGCGCCTGCAAGTGGCCCTGGAGCACAGGCAGCCCGGGGAGGGCAGAGGCCTCCGATAGAGGGTCTGGATGCATCTCTTGGGACTTCGGCATCTTCCATGGGCATCTAATGGGGAGGAGGGCGGTCCTTCCTGGACAACGCAGCTGGGAGGGCTGGGCACTGCTGGTCAGTATCCCACGGGCCCTGGCTGAAGCCGGAGGAAGGGGGGCGTGGGTGTTGGCGACAGACCCTCCCTCCTTCCTGCGTGTGTGTGTAGCGCAGGCGGACACCAGCGCACAGGGGCTTCCACACTGTCGTCTCTGACTGCCGGAAACCCTGTCGGGGGGCACCAGACCCTGTTTACCAGCAGGAACGTGCATAGATGTTCGTCCTGCCTGGGCCACACCCCACAGCCCACGCACACACTCGTCATTCACTCATTCACATGTTCCATGTTTACTAAGTGTGGCCTCCCGCGTGGCCGCTGGGGACAGGGTGGGCACAGAGCAGTCAGGTCTCTGCTCTGGGAGCTTCCTGGGGCCCCCTCCTTCCACAGGGCTCTTTTGGGCTGGGATCCGAATGAGCCAGGTGAGCTGCCAGGCTGGTGAGGACAGACTGGGCTGGGCCCACTGACCCCCAGGCCCAGGCGCCTGTGTCCCTGGGGCCGTGGGTGTGGACAGGCTGCTGCCCCGAGCAAGGTGTTACCAGGGAGGTGTAAGAGGCAGCTGTGGGCTGGGGAGGAAGCTGGGTTTCTGCCTGAGTGTTTACGAGCGGGGAAGTAGCCCCAGATGCTGTAGGCTTTCCATGTGTTGCTCCCTGTGGACTCCCTGACACGTGTTCACAGTGGGGCTCGAGGAAGACTTAGTAGCGCGGAGGCCCGTGTGCCAGGGGCTGCTGGGAACACGCTGCCTCGCACTACCTCACCGGACTGATTATTTCAGTTTCTGGCTGAGGGACAAGGTGCAGGGAGGGGTTGGTGACCTCCCCAAGCCCGCCACAGGTGATGTGCAGCCCTGATTCCATCGGCATGGCGGCAGGAAGGGGGCCGGGCTGCAGCTTCCCAGGGAGCCCCCCGCCTTCATGCAGCTCCCATGTGCCCCTGGAGCCCCCCACCTTCATGCAGCTCCCGTGTGCCCCCTGGAGCTCCCACCTTCATGCAGCTCCCGTGTGCCCCCTGGGGATCTTGCCCACCACCACCCCCCAGCGCAGCTCTCAGCATTTTCTTCTTGCAGCCTGTGGGCCACACCCTAATGTCCGTGACGCCCCCTGGCCTGGGCGCCTGGAGGCCACGTCCCAGCGCTGAGTGGAGTCGCACTGCCCAGCAGGTGCCAGCTGTCTCAGGTGGCAAGTAGCAGGCGGAGAGGACGAAGTGCAGGCTGCGGACTGCAGAGCCTTCCCTGGGCTGTGAGGCCCAGGGGACTGTTTGCCGCTGCAGAGTGCGCGCGCCTCCCGACACGGGGTCAGGACCCTGGGTGTCGGGCTTCGCCTCGTTGGTGCCCCTTCCGGCTTTTTTCTGTCCTCTGTGACCTTGGGCACGCCCTGGCTTCTTACTTGAGCTACTGTATGTTGACTGTAGTCCTTGCAGTGACCTGGGCGGTGACTCATCAGCCCCATTTTAAAGATGAGGGGGCTGAGGCTCAGGGACCCTGAACTCCAGGCAACTCGGCTGCTAACAGGGCCTTTCTCCAAAGCTGAGCTTTTCCTCCCAGCTCCTCCCGCTCCCACCCACTGAGACGCTGGGTGAACATGCTGCCTGCCCTGTCATCTCCTTCTGGAAATAGCTCTTCGTGCTCAAGGGGGCTGGCAGGTATTTGTGATCCTCACATTGCAGGTTCAGTGAGCTGAGGGGTTGGAGGATCAACTCTCCGCGGGGCTGAGGGGAAAGGCGCGAGCGTCTCACTTGCCACCCTCCCTGAAGCAGTGGCAGTCACTCATCTCTGGGTCGCTATAGCAACACGAACAGGGAAACAGCCATGGCAGTGCCACAGGCCCTGGCTGAAGGGACAGCGTGCAGGGGCTTGCTGCGGGGACTGACTTCACACCCTCTGCAAGACCCCAGCGCCCTAAGTCCCCTTCCCCTGAGGCCAGGCCCCATCCTTCACCCGCCCACCACCGCCTCAGACCCAGGAGCGATGAACTAGCTCGTGGGGCAGGGCTGGACCAGGCTGGGCACTGTCACATCTGGGCTGACAGGAGGCAGCCTTGGGCCCCAGACTGCATGAGCTCGTGAGAGCTGTGGACTGGTCACCTGGCAAAATGCCTGGACGTCAGAATCTCAAAAGTGACCGTAGGTGTTTCCTGCCGTCTGAAGCCCCCTGCCCTCCCTGTCGGTTCTGTGGCCCGTAGGGACGAAGCCTCTTCCTTGTTAGGGGACAGCCCCCTCAGTGTGCCCTCTTGAGGTCCTTGGTGACTTCTTGCTGTGCTCAGTCACAGGGTCACACAACAGGCCCTTAGGTGGTGGCCTGGCCCTCAGACCCCTGCCTCCGTCCCCGGCGCCTCCATCGTGCTCCCCTCCGGGTCCTCTGCCCCCCGCCCGTCACCTGGTAGGGCGCAGAGGGCCCTGACTGCCTAAGTCCCTTCGACTGTGTTATTGCTAGACGTGTCAGATCTTTTGTTTTCTAGACTTACTGACAGCAGGCGTGAGACCTCAGTGAAGCGTGAGGCCCCAGTGAAGCGTGAGACCTCGTTAGCTATGGCTGTCCTGTTGGGACAGACGGGTCAGGCGGTCACTGGGCCGCACGCGAGGGCCCGTGCCGAGTACCTGCTGGGTGCCCCCTCCCATGTCCCGCGTCTCAGTGGCTTCTTGTCTTTCAGAATGCCCAGTGCATTCCCGACGGCCTGGCGGCCTACTACGCGGAGCAGGACGCCCACTCCCCGGACAAATTTTACGCCATCGTCAACCACTACGACCTGGCCAAGCAGAGCATCAGCCGCTCGGTTTCGCCCTGGATGTCGGTCTTGTCGGAAGAGAAGCTGTCCGAGCAGGAGACTGAAGCCGCAGAGAAGGCGGCTTAGCGAGGGGCAGGTTCCTAACAGTCTGGAGGTGACGAAGGGACTTGGAGGGACATTTCATCAAAAATAATTACCGGTAATTTAGAGGTCACTCATTTATGGTGCCACCGCTTCTGCTAACGCTGCTTCGCGACGTGACGCGCTGCAGGCCCGCCACGGGCTCGGCGAGCTCTGACGCCGCTTTTCGTGTTAAGGAATCTTGATTTAGCTCCTTTACTGGGATTTGTTGGATGCGGTCAAAAATAAATTTACCCCGGATGTGCAAGGGGTTTGGACTTCGGATAAATGGGGCATTCGTGGAGTTGACCGTTTTAAACCCCCTTGCCATGTGCAGACCTCACCCTAGCGTATCTAGACTGACCCCCCGCTTTGCTCAGAGCAGCTGCACGCCACCCCCCCACCGTCAGATGGCGCAGTGAGCGGGCGTGTATGCAGGACAGGTGCCCCCAGTCACCATCAGGCTGTGTTTTGCTCAAGTGCATGTCGCTTATGGCAAAGCACATGAGGTGAGGGGCTGGAGAGATGACCTGGGGCTGCGAGCGCCGACTCCCTGTAGGTCGTGTGTCTGCTGTGACGTGCAGATAGGATTGGAACCCCATGGGCCCCTTTGTTCACTCCGCTATGGATAAATCTGCACCATTGGCCCTGTGAGCAAGTTGGTTTTTAAAACATTAGCTGGGCGGGAAAATGTAACTGCTGGTGAGCCAAGGCCACTTTAATTTTAATTTCGTGAAACAGATGTAACTCCTTTGATGTAAGCAGCGGGCGGGAAAGGCTGGTGGGGTGGGGGGGCTGGTGTGGCACCTCGCAAGTCCAATTATGACATTTCAACTCACAATCTTTGTAAGAAAATGGTTTCGATCTGAATCTTGACATTAAATGTTTACAAAATTGCCCATTAGATAAACTAAGTGTGTAAGACAATTAAATAGAACAAAGATATTCAGACATTTTCTTCCATGTCATTTGAATGTATTGTTTCTGGTGGACGTGTCAAGTTTCACTGTTTTTTAGATCAAAAATAAACGACATAGTGTAAGATACGTTGCGAACAAGCATGGTGATCGCGGCCAACTCCAGTACCGTTTCTTGCAATGTGCTTCTAAAACGTCTTTCTTATCCAGGGGGTTTGGAGACTGACCTGGCTGCAGGGCAGTCAGTGCGTGTGCGTCGTCGTCACGTGCTGCCAGGCTGCGGAAGGCAGGCAGAGTCATACCCGCGTGCCAGGTTTCCCGCACACGTCTGTAAACAAAGTCACGGCGCCATGGCAAGCCCCATTCGTGTTTCCTAGATGTGCGCTTTATTGACTGCGAGTTCATGCACATGTAACTTCTGACATTTTCACTGTGCAAATAAAGAACCCAGGTCCCCGTGGCTGCCCGCAGACTGTGCGGTGAGCGTCTACACCCACGGCGAGGCGGCCCTGCTGACACAGGACGCTTTCCGCGTGGACATGGCTCGTGGCTCGTGCTTGCCTTCACACACAGGCATTCGTTCCCAGTCACGTTCCCAGGAGGTCGGATGCACAGGCCCCGCTCCCCCAGGGCGCCATCTCCCCCTCTGAACAAAGCTCCTGGGCCCCCTGCCTGTGGGCCTCCTGCCCGCTGGTCAGGAACAGGCGCTGGGAGGCGGCCACCGCGTTTCTGAACTGGGACCCACTGACAGTACCTAAGTGGCTGTCGTCACGTTACTTAGACTGACAAGGCAAAGGCGCTTTTCCACGGTGCAGCGAGGCTGTGTCAGCCGGCTCAGGCAGGCAGGGAGCCTCAGGAGAACGGAGATGTGATTGTTTTTGGTGTAACTGCTCCGCGTTCTTTCTGAAGCCCTGGGAGGGAGGGGCAGGCGTCTCCCCGCACCCCCACTGCCATGACTGCCACAGACCATTTTCCGTTTGTGTTCACTGCTTTCCTGCTACTAAATGGGCTTAAAACCACGGGTCTGGGTGTCCCCTCTGAGAGCGGTCGTCTGCCTCCCCCCTCCCCCCGCGTGGCTCTGGTAAAACCTGGTCACTGCTGCTCGACGCCGGAGACCACGGCGGCCAGCTGCGGAGCGACAGGGCGGCTAGCTGTCGTACCAGTCGAGGAAGAGCAGCGAGAAGGAGCACATCACCAGGAAGAAGAGCACCCACACTCGGAAGCCCGCGTTGTTTTTGATGGCCTGGGGGATGGGGGCACAGGCATTTGCGGCCCACAGTGCGGCGGGCGAGGCCCTCGGAGCCCCCGCTGATCGCACACACGCTCCCTGCCGTGGCGGGAACTGCGTGCTGCTCCGTCCTACCTGCACCCTGACAGGCGGCTTAATTATTAAGCAAAACCAGAGTCAGTTTAAACCCCATGAGCAGACAGGTGGCACTTTCCTCCCAGGTGACCGTTCCTTGGCGGTCCCGCACAATGTCCCGGGAAACCGACACCCCAGCACGGCTCCCCTTTGTGCCTGGGTTAAAGCTGTCTGCCCTGGCTGGTGTCCCCAGCAACGCCATGGTGGAGGTGGCCCCGGACGGTCCCACATCAGCCCAAACCAGAGGACCATGATCAGAAGACAAGGTCCATTCAACAGTCAGCTGTGGTGGCCCCAGACGCAGTGCCCGGGGCTTCTCCAGCGGCACCCTAAGTCCAGGAAAGGGTCAGACCCTTGCGGAGAAGAGCCCTTGACCCCAGATCGCTCCTCTGGAAGGTGGTGAGCCACCGCCTCTCAGTAACGGCGGGGCCCTGGGCCTGGCGGGGTGGGCCGTGGCCGTCCAGCAAGGTCAGCCCTGGGGGCGCGTCCCCAGCGAGACCGACGTGGAGCTAACGCTACGGTGGGGCCGGGGCCCGGGGGTACACACCTCTCTGATGTCTTCGTTACCCTCCTTGATGTTCTCGGTTGCCCCGACAACGAGCTGGTGGATGCTGTCAATGTCGGCTTCCTGTGGGAGAAAAGAGGGCAGCGAACACACGTGCCCCCCGCGCCCCCCAGTGCACGATACAAACAGCAGCTCCCGCCGACTGAGGGCTGTGGGTTTGACACGCGTGGACCCGTGAATCTTCACGGCACCCCGAGAACAGACAACGCCCGTTTTCCAGAAGGGAAATTTAAGGCTCAGAGGTTTACAATTTGCCTGAAGTCACAGAGCCACCAAGGGCCAGGGCTGGGATTGGAACCCAGTCCACCCCCACCTGCCGCCTCTCCTGTGCCGCTTGCCGGATGCTAAGGGACACACATAAGAGCTGCCGACTACAGAGCAGCCACCGCACACCAGGGGCTTCCCCACTGCGAAGTCCAGAGAAGTAAGCTTCAAGTGCACGTGTTTGCAAACATGCTGGCTTCAAAACAGGACCGCTTCACCACTGTATCTCTATAAATGGGCTAAAGTTTAAAAATCAAAATGAGATGTTTACAAAAAGTACTCCAAATACTTGAAAAGCTTAAGAAACACGAGGTCCTGGTCTCCTACATGGAACGGCTGGCTGTTGAGCAGCCACCACACAGTGCCAGTGCCAGGCCGGTCTGAGGGGCGCAAGGTCCCCGCCCTGCAGGTGTGGGGTGGCGGGGGCGGGAACGTGCTCTCGGGGGTGTGAGGGAACCCTAACCGATACAGCACTGTGAAGAGGAGGGCACGCCCGCTGGCTCCCAGGAGAGGCCACCTAGTCTGGGGACGTGGGGGCCAGGCTGCCGCGCTCTGCAACCGCGGCCAGAGAGTCGCAGAGGGAGCTGAGCAGCGCCCGCGTCCTGGAGAAAAGCTGGTCTCACAGACGAAAACAGACAGAGCTGACCCCTCAGGCTGGAGGCTCCGGGGCAGCCGGGGAAGGCGCAGCGGGCTCTGCAGACCCCTCCCCGGGGCCCAGGCCAGGCTGCTGGGGGTGAGGAGACGGGGAGACGGGGAGCTGGGTCCCTGGGGGCAGGCACAGTGCTGCCTGCTGACCTAGGCTCCGTGGCCGTGCACAGCCGGGCTGGGAGCAGGAGCGGAAGCGGCGCTCGTGAGCGTGACTGTGACTGTGACTGCTCCGCAGCCCGGGCTCCACGGTGCGGCTCACGCTGCGCCCTTTGCCAGCAGCTACCGGCTGCGCCGGGTCACAGCCGCACCTCGGAGTAACGTTCCCTGCGCTCACCCCCCGGGTCACCCGACGCCGCTGGCGTCCGACTAGCTGAGCTGCCTCTGAAAGGGGTCGTGTGCCCTGCAGGAGGTTCCTGCTGGGCCGGTGGGCGGCTGATGGGAGGCCCGGCAGCTTCCGAGGGAAGGCACAGCTCCCAAGCGTTGAGGGGCAGCCCTCACGACCCTGAACGTGCGCCTCGTTACGGAGCCTTGCCTGGCTGGGTGGCCTAGGGGCAGCTTCCGGGGTGCAGTGCAGTCAACTAGCGCAGCTTAACTCAGCGGAGGAAAGTGACCGTTCCAAAGCCCCGCAGTCTGTGGAGGCTGAGAGGCTAACTTATCAGGTCTGTACAGATTTTGCCAGTTTCTGGCTGGAAGACAATCAGAACCGAACACCCACTTGGGAGGTGGCCCGGAGCCGGCACCGCGAGGGGGCTGAGCCCCGCGACGAGCTGATGCAGACGCTGCTGCCCATGGGGCATCGCGCCTGCCCTGGGCTACCGTGGGACCCACGGCTGGCAAGGCCGCTCCGTCACAGAGGGGGCCGCCCAGCCCCGCGCCTCCCCTCCCTGGGCCGGCTGACCATGCGGCACAGCGGGCAGCTGCCCGGAGCTGTCCCCGCACGCCCTGCACCCGCACGCAGCTGCAGACAGCAGACTTCAGAAGCGTCCCGAGGACCTGGCACAGTCCTCTCAGAAGACGGAAATTAAAGCAGCTGCCTTCGCTCTTACCTGCTGTAAAACCTTCTCTGTGAAGATCTCCTGGAGTCTGGAAATTTCAACCACTTTCCCTTCGATTTGCCTTTACAACAAAACAGATGACATATGAACCATTAGTACTTGGTGATCTTAACAGGACTGTCACATGTGTCTAGAGAAACTGTCTCTAAGTGAAGGTGTTTGAGAGGGAGGGGACACCACATCAGCCATGAGAGGGAGCAGATACCATGTCATCCGTAAGGGATGGAGGGGACACCATGTCATCTGTGAGGGATGGAGGGGATACCATGTCATCCGTGAGGGATGGAGGGGACACCATGTCATCTGTGAGAGACAGAGGGGACACCATGTCATCCGTGAGGGCTGGAGGGGACACCATGTCATCTGAGGGACAGAGGGGACACCATGTCATCCGTAAGGGAGGGAGGGGACACCATGTCATCCGTAAGGGAGGGAGGGGACACCATGTCATCTGAGGGACAGAGGGGACACCGTGTCATCCGTGAGGGAGGGAGGGGACAGATACCACTTTGGACTCGGGGAAGGAGATGGGCAGAGGAGGGGTCCTTCCCCTACCAGTTCCCCTGAATGCCTCTCAGCTAGTGGGGTGCACGGGACTGTCTGGAACCCCGCCCTCCCGTGTGAGCTGCCCCGCAAGGCCCCTGCCTAGGAGTCCGTGTGTGGGGCCGGAGCACTTGGCCGTGCCCCACTTACGAAAGGCAAAGTCTCCTAGCGTGAAGGCCTGTGCCTGGCCCAGTAACCCGTGACACATGGAGAGGAGTCAAAAGAAATGGTCAGAGGATGTGACAACCCAACTCTGTTCCCACTCAGTAGGTTAAGGGTGAGAGTATATTTGCCACTCAAACCCATTCCCTGTTCAAAGAAAACACTTCTCTGGTCTTTTTGGGAAATATCCGTGCTCAGTGTTTCCGTGTGTCGGGGAGCGTGGATGAGCCGGGGGCAGGCTGGGGCGGTGGTGTCTAGAAAGGAGGCTGAATGTGACCGCTGTCCCAGCACGAGCAGTGACAGCAGGGACAGAAAGTGAGGGGGGTGGGCTGTGTCGCGGCCAAGTCCCCTCCCACAAGAACGGCAAGGAGCAGAGGGTGGGACAGTGTGACGGCCTCCGAGGAAGGAGCAGGGCGGCTGGCAGAGGGAGGCCGGCTCGTCACCAGGGACACACGATGTGACGCTCGGGCTCGCTTCATTCGGGATGTGCCCGCAGGGCGCCGGGTTGCAGGCCCTCCTGTCAGGGGCTCCAAACAGCCCCAGGAGGCGGCTCCCGAGTGTGTCACCAGCGCTGGCGCCCGTACGTGCGTGTGACCACGGCCGTCTGTTTGGTGACGGAGCAGACACACCCCAGTGGAGCTACTTGCAGAAGGCGGCGTCCCTTTGTCAGCTGCCCTTCCCGAGGCCATGGCATCTCATGGGAGGGACGTGTAGACGGCCCCCGACACAGCGTGTTGATTGCGCTGGGCGCAGTCTGCCGTCACTGTTGATCTCTGGACACTGTGGCTCCCGGGGCCCCAGCAGCAGGCGGGGGCCACCTCCCACAGACCCACAGTGGAGGGGAGTTGGTGAATTTGGGCGGCTCCCCCACCCCCAAATGGCTCAGGGCGCAGCATTTGGCCCAGGGGCCATAGGTGGATGCAACGTAGAAGAAGAAAGGTCCCAGGTCCTGGGAAGCTGTCCACCAGGTCACCGGCTCATGGTGCACGTACCTCACCTCGTCACACAGGCTGTTCATCTCGCCGATGAGGCGCTGGTTCTCCTGTTCGAACTGCAGGGAAAGACGCACACTAAGACGACATCGCACAGCTCCAGACCCCGAGGGACGCCTGCACGGAAGCCTCGGTCTGCCCCCGAGCGCCTCCACGGGGTCACTGTGGCAGGCACTGCCAGAGACCCTGGGCGTCAGGGCAAAGACGCCCCGCTGTGGGAAGGAAACAGGCTCCACGAGTCGCTGCCCCTAGCGCAGCGTCTCATCCAGTCGCCGGAGCCCGAGTGCCCGTCCCCACTGACGGTGCGGTTCCCACGCCGAGGGGCGCGGCCAGCCTTGGCGGTCCTGGCCGCACGGCTCGGTGGAGTGGCCCCGCTAATTATGCATCAAGGTAGCTGTTTAGGAGACTAGGATTTCACTTTTGAGTTTGAAAGTATCAGCTGTCAACACTTACTCCAGAATTCAGTTTTAAGGAAAAATACAATTACTTCAGCAGGTAGGTGCTAATTTACTTTGGCTATTACCCTCAAGTACTACTCAGGTGTTTTGTGTTTTGGGGCGGGGGGGGGGGGGGGGAGGGCACTGTCTTTGAATTTTTCTAATGACAAAATATGGCCCTGCCCTTTTAAATCCACAGTCATTTTATGCTTCTAAAAGGCTTCTAAACAGTCTATGGCCACGCCACCCTGAACAAGTCCAATGCCGTCTGATCTCAGAAGCTAAGCAGGGTCAGGCCTGGTTAGTACTTGGATGGGAGACCACCTAGGAAGACCAGGTCCTGTAGGTGTAAAAAATAAATAAAAAATAAAAAAAAATAAGGGATTGTAAGCTGCAAGGTCCTTGCAATCTGTAAAATAATAATAATAAATGAAAGGCTTCTAAACAAAGTCAACTAGGGTTCTGAGGTGGCTTATGGCAGGAGTGCCCCTTGGGGACAAAGCCTCTGTCCACGCCCCAGCCTGAGGGCATGTGGCCTCAGACGCTGGCTCCGCCTTCCTCCCAGCCCCTGCTCCTGCTGCCCCCTGGGAAATACCCAGCTCCTGGCAGAAGTGGGAGAAATGCCTCAGGGGACCGAGTGGGGTGAGGGCCGAGGGGTTTGCCATAGGCCAGGAGCTCTGTGGAGGGCGGCCCCATCCCGAGGGCGGGCTTACAGGGAAGCTTCGGGTTTAAAAACAAAACCCATTCCCCACAGCCAAGTGCAAGGTCGAGCTGGTGGGGCTCGGGCGGAGTAGGTGACGCCGCTGACACCCATGTGCACGAGGCTTCAGGATGGTTTCTGATGTCTCAGTGGCAGACTTGCACACCTCACCTCTCACCTGCTCAGGCAGGGAGCGGCCGAATGGCAGGCGGCAGCGGTAGGTGGTGGTCATGCCAGGGTCCTCTTGGGAACTTCCTGGGTGACCCGCGACCAGTCACTGGCCTCTGTGTGGCCTCCTGATTTCTCCTCGTTGAATAGACGTGGTGATTCTTACCCCTTCCCGCCTGATCCTGAGGGAGGGAGGAAAGGCTGCTTCGCCTTCGAAGCCGTGTGACTTTGTGCTGGTGACTTAGCCTCTCTATACCTCTGTTTTCTTCACTAAAATGGGGATAATAATAGTGCTTAATAGCATTGTTTGGAAGAAGACGTGTCAGTTGCTTAACCGAAGTACATGGAACACAGTATGCTCTTGATAAATGTTAATTGCTATTATTTACTCTCTCTGGGAGTCAGATTCCAGATACGTAGCAAATGATTGCTTCTTGGCCTTTTGGCTAAGATCAACTGCAGATCCACAAATGAGCCTTCAATGTTCTGAAGGACCCTGCTACCTCTCTGGTTTCCAACTTGAGAGTCACTGTGACTCCTGGACTTCCATCCTCACAGGCACGAGAAGCGCACACACAACTTCATCTTCTGGGGCTCACTGGTGGTGTCTGTCTCCCCCCGACACACCGGGACTTCGCAAGGTGCAATGCTGAACGCAAGGCCTGGTCCCCACGGTCAGCACCAGGGACAGGGGCACACAGAGGCCCTGGGAAGACAAACCCGCCACAGTCTATGAAACACTTCATCTGTCAGTCCTTGAAAAAGGGGTGGAGGCGCCAAGAAGATGGGGAAGGTGGGCGAGCAGGGTCCTGCGGGCACGACAGAACGCCCACTCTTCCGGGGTCCCTTCCGCGGCCCACCCCCCTCTACTGAGGCCTCACGTCGAAGTACGACAGTTCCCTCGGCACAGATGGTGACCCCGCCACTGGGGGGCGCCATGTTTCAGAGTCCAGGACTTAGGAGCTGTCTGTAAAATGGGGCCAGCGACAGTCCCCTATGACCCGGGGTGACATAAATAAACGCTGAAGGGCTCAGAGCAGTACCTGGCACGGGCGTGTGTTCCATGAGTGTTAGGCGATATTATGTAACTGCTTTATTCCACTTAGAAGTCAGTGAGACCTTCAAATAGCCCCGCAAAAGGGTTTATAATCTGGTTTAAAGGGTACAAACCCACTCTGTAAACACGTCGTTGCAGAAATCTTTTCCTAATCTAATCCTCGTGACCACAGTTTTAAGAAGAAAACCACTCCTACGAAGGCCTTTTGAGTATAAAATGAGGCCAGGAGAAGTATTCGCACTGCAAAGGGCCAACGGCAGCGAGGGAAGCGAGGCAGGACAGGGCCCCAGAGGCCAGGGCCCCACGGGGCTCGGCCTGGAAAGCTGGCTGAGGCCCTCTCTGGGCTCTTCCAGATGTGCCATTTCTGTGCCAAACGCCTTCACACCTGTGGCTCTGGGACCATAACCGTGACCCCCACCTGTGCCCCCGTGAGCCTGGAACCTCCCCGGGTCTGGACCGCGGCTCTGGCGTCTGTGGCGCCCAGATTCCCTCAACAATTCTCGTGTTCTCATATGCAAGTCGAGTTGGCCACAGCCTGCAAGCCCTGCCAGTCAGTCGCCTGGGACTTCCAGGGCCTCAGGGGACCGGGGCTAGGGACACCTTTCATGCGAATTTAAGAACGGAAGTCACATTCATGCCTTAAAAATCATCCCAAGGAATATGTTAGTAAATGCAGGGGGTTTCACTGGAGGCAGTAAAACGAATGTGGGCTTAGAAAAGGGGGCGTGTTCTCAGTGCAACGTCAGAAAGCATTTGGGCGCGGGCGGCCTGACCACAAAACGTGACCTGTGTTCACTCGAGGCACGAACACTCCTGCGTCACGAGTTATAAATGGGAATTTATCGTGGAAATCACAGAATGCTCTGCAACCGTTTTGGAACATGTAACAACTGCTCCTATGAGTGAAATAATGCATTAAATTACTATTATAGGGTTTAATTCATTATTTCACCCCGAGGAAAACTTCCAAAACAGTGATTATAAATTATGACCACAATTTGCTACAACGCTTTCCAATTTAAAACCAATCGCGCAGTATTTCTCTCTCTCCATTTTCAGAGTTAAGCATCTTTAAGTAGGATTCGGGTTAGTCAGGCCACGCGATGTGGTACTTGGCTATCATTCCCAATTAAAAGAGAGGTTAGCGGAACGTCAACGAGCCCGTCGTGAAGACACTGAAGCCTACGGGCCTCGCCGAAGCCGCCTGCAGCGACAGCGAACATCTGGGTGGTCTCGCTGGTCCCGTCACTGTGACATGGAACAGCTGGCGCGTTCTCAGTGAGGACGGCGCCTGGAAGCGAGGCCGTCAGGAGTTGCTACGGAAACAAGAGCCTGGTGAGGCCAACGTTATTCCTTGCAGGCGTCCACTACGCCGCATGTGAGCTCGTGCAGAGGACGCGGCAGGGCACAGTTGGTGTTTCTGTGAGGAGCCGGCATCGGCTCAGCCGCAGCCGCGCGCCCGCACGTGCAGCCTCACATCCCCGACGAGTCTGTGGGGCTGTGGATTCTTGCCAAATTCAAGCTCTGCGGGGCTAATTTTCTGGCCCCAAAGTACGTGGACAGTGAGTGATATGAGGTGGACTCATAAACAACTGTCTAGTCCCAAAGCCCACGTTCCTTCGGCTTTTCTCCCGGGGACCGAGCATCAGCCGGTTTACAGACACGTCCCTTGCTGCCGGCCTCCCTCTGGTCCGCCGTCCAGGCAGCCACGGAGAGGCCTCTACACCTGGCGTCTGCTGCCGGCCGCTGCGCACAGGAGAAAGGCAAGCTCCCCCGGCTCCCCCGGCAGACGACTGCTATCCCTCCAGCTATTCCCCTGACGAGGAGGGTGCAGCAGAAAAGTCCTACATGGAAGGCACATTCTGCCTAACACAAATGCATCCAGTCCTAATGAAGAGACTGTGGGCTACACTTTTATCTCCAGGAAAGACATGTGGCCACGTTTCATTATTTGGAGGAACATGACTCATCATTTTCATTAATAAAATTATTTTGTACAAACTGAGAAAAATGGTGAGGTTTTAAGACACGTCTGCCATCAAGGGAGTGTGACCTAATGGCCCTCTCCTGTCGTTTGCTGGCTGCCCCGCTGCCGCCTGCCCCCCAGTGGAGGGTCCCCGGGTGATGTGTCGTCTCTTCTCTCCCCTGTACACGCTGTTTCAAATGCCAGCAAAGCGCTGTCTCCGTTACTCGTATCTCTAGCTGGAACTCAGATCTCAACGCCCACCAGATACCTCCACGGATGCCCCGCCAGCACCGCAAACTCACACGTGTCCAAGATGAAACCCATCACGTCCTGCCCCACCCCAGGCTGCCCGCCGCCTGCGTGCCCTGCCGTCTCCTGACTGCCGGCGTCCTGCCCTGCCCAGCCCAGTTAGAACGCGCCAGGCGCCCGCCCCGCACACTCGGTCGCGTCGCGTGCTGTCCTCCGACGAGCGTCAAGCGTCTGCTCCCCCTGACGCAGCTCCCACCGCCTCACCGCCGCTTCCCAGCAAGGCTCGCGTCGTCTCCCGGCTGCGGGGGCAGCGGCGGCTAGCCGGACCCTGCTGCAGGCCTGCTGTAGCCACCCTATGCCGGAGGCTCCCGGCATGCGTCTCTGGGCCTGGGCACTGGGCACGTACAGTCAGAGGGTGCGTCCGGAACGTGAGAAGCTGGAGGGGAAGGGCCTGGTGGGCCACTCTAAGGTGTCTGAGTTCCTGCCTTAGCTCAGAATTATTCTTGTCTACAAAGGACAAAGCTAGCTCTGCTTATCATTCCAAAGGAGGCACCACCAGCTCCGAGGGAGCCCTGCAAGGTGAGTCCCAGGAGAGTCACGGCTAATGGTGCCTTCACTTGGGTCAGTTCTGAGCTTCTAAGCTGCTGATTTGAAAGGGGAAAGCACGTATCCAGTGGATAAGTGTCTGAAGCCGAACTGCATATAAAATACTATGAAACTCCGCTGAGTTGCAGCTGCCATCTTGCATGACCCTTTGATCCTGCTGTGGGTGCAGCAAGCACACCACAGTCCTTGCCTACACATGTGCAGCTGTGACCCGAGAGGCCGAGCTCTGCTCAGGCTCTCCCACCCTGTGAGGGGGACAGCTGGACTGCCTCTCTGTACAAACTGCCCCTCAGCTGAGGGAACTCAACTACGAGTGCCCACTGTGTGCCTAGTGCCCTGATGCGTGCACCTCATGGGGCAGCTCACTCAGTCGCTTGCCCCCCTGTGAGGTGGCTTAAAGAAGAAGCAGTAAGTCTGGAGAGCAGGAGGATTCTGAGCCAGTTCTCTGCCCTTGGCAGCCCCCGGCCACACTTGCAGGGCTCGGCCTGCAGACCAGCGTGTGACACTGCTCCGTGGGCCCCCAGAGGGCTGGCTGACTCCTCTGCCAGGTGGCTGTGAGTTTGCCACACGGCTCTCGTGCTGGCTACACACAGCTAGACCATCAGATCCCACCTGGGACTCACGTGAGCTGTGACAGGTGACAAAAGGCAGGGTTTAAAGCCAGGGCTCAGGGTGAACGGTGGCACAGTTGCTCTAGGCTCCGTGACCTTGGGAGGGCTTTGGAGGTTTCGTGCCTCGTTTTCTTCAACTGTCTAAGGGGGGCAAGCAGCTCAAGGGAGCTGAGAACAGCAGCTGAGGCGTTACTCTGCATTTTTCAGCTGTTACTTATGCTTTTTCACATTACCATCACACCAGCAATTCAAACAATTAAAAAGCTCCAGAGCGGCAATTATAAAAGACCATTTAGTCTAGAAGACATTTTACTGCCGCTGAAAAGATATCTAATATTAGTAAAATTATTCCAAGGCAATTTCTTCTTTAATTATGTTACTGCAAATTTAAAATATATGAAAAACACACTAGGAATGAAGAAATCCAGTGGAAATATTGTATCTAAATTATTTATAAATTTTAAAACTCAGTATAAAAATCAGGGCAAGGGCATTTAGGATGACCTACTCGATGAAATAGTCTTACAAAAACCAGTTAAAAAGAAACGATTAAGCAGAGAAGAGCATTACCATTTGTATTTCTTCTGGGGATAATTCATCTTCACCTTTGCCATCTCCCCAGGGTCCCAATTCAGGTTGTGCTTCGGCCGGAATCTTTTCTGTTAAAAAAATAAAATAAAATTAAGCAATATATTCATTTCAGAACAGGCTGGCTTAGGGGGCAGCACATGAGACACGTGAGAGGGGGCAGAATCTTAGAGCTGTGTCCGAATTGTTGGCCAATACTCAGGCATGGCGGCGCGGTTCTTGTTCAATGTGTAGACCTGCGTGTGTGTGTGTGTGTGTGCGCGCGTGCGTGTGTGCAGGGAGGGGGGACGTATGCACACCTGCAGTACTGCAGCGATTTTGGCAATGGCCACAAACCAACGGACATTGTCTGGGGCCAGTCATCACGTGTATCTTACTTCAAAACACACTCACACACTTATACTCCTCCCTCCACTTTTCGAAGGTTGCAAAATATATAGGTATTTTCAATGTAAAAAAAATTAGAAACATGTAAGCAACAGAGGAAAACACCACTCCCTAATGCCACGTCTCTCCTGGAAGTAGCCACTGCTGCTGTTTGGTGGAGCCTCACAGACTTGATCTGAGCATCTTCACAAACAGATCTGCGATCCCCTGCCTCCCTCCACCTCAACCCACAGATAACACAGAGTTTCAACTCAAAGATGTCGGTGCTATGTATTGTTCTAAAACTTGCTTTTCATGGCTTGACAGCAATGTGCCTTGGGGATCACCCCGTGCGGCCCACACAGGCCTACCTCATCCTTCTACACTGCTGCGTGATGTTCCATTGTAAGGGTACACCGTCCTCCCACCGACGAGCCTTTGGTCATTCTGGTTTTTCCCAGAACGATGGTGCCACGTGCCCGTCGCGCTCTGCACATGCCAGCTGCACTCTAGCACGGACGCCTGGGCGTGACGTGCTGGCTGGCAGTGCGTGCTATTTTAAACCGGAGAACTTCGGGGCCGTGATCACACACACCCATGTGGCAGCCCTCCACGAAGCACAGGCTCCCAGAAGGGGCTGCACCAGCCAGGAGTGTGCTGGAGGCACCTGTGTGGCTTACGGGCTGGGGGTGGGGGGACCCCTCCCTGGCTCTCTGTTTCTAAAGGTGACTTTGCGTCTGGTGTCTCAGGGGTGCCTCTGAGCTCTCAGCGGGTTGCCAAGGGCTCCGAGCACACACCGCTGCTTTCCCCCTTGCTTAGTCTCAGCACGTCCCCAGAGCTGACGTCAGCCCCTCGACACGCGCAAAAGACCCGGTGTGTTCCGAGACTGACAAGGGGAAAGAACACAAGCGGACACTGACGTGGACAAGGCACGTTAGGCAGACCACGTGCACAACGGCACGGTTATTTGGGACCTGTCGTCGCAAAAAAGCTCCATGTCATCCACGACCTGTGCAGGTTTTTTAAAAAATGGCTGTTTTTGCCAGAACTGTTTTCATATTTATAATACATCTTCATGTATAACAGTACATAATAAACATATGCATACTTCATACATAAAAAACATCTCTAGGAGACAAGCTGCGAGCATCTTTAGAAACTGATGCAGCGTTTTCTGAGACACTGGTCCCCAGGCGAGACACCCGCACCTCACCTCCTGCTCACCTGGCCCGGCCCAGGGCCCTCTGGCTCCTACCTGACCTCATTACGGTACCCAGGTCAAGCTTTTACTTTTACGTTTTTAAGAGATAAAGACATCAAAATTAGAGACATAGAAACATCGTCTGCATCAGAACCAAGACGAAGTCAGCTCTGAGCTGGAAAGGCGAGTGTGTTAAGGGAACCGTGCTCAGCGGCAGGCTCTCTCTGCAGCCGCTGGGAGCCAGGCGGACCCGCCGGGGGCCACGCGGGACTGTCATGAACCACGCAGCACCCGCCGGGAGCCATGCGGACCCGCCGCTGAGGAATCGGAGGCAGCACGGTGCTCCCCGCGCCACAGCTCCGCCCAGACTTGGCCCCTCCGATGCCAGGAGCCTCCAGTCCGCACTCCGGGGCCTGGCCCCCCCCACCTTTCCAGTCTTGACTCCCAGGGCCCCCACCTGGCTGTGTCGCTGACCCACGACTGCCCTCCCTACCGACTGCATCCCAGCCCTCCGAGCATCACTCACCTGCTCCCTCTGCTAGAACACCTAAGCTGGCAGTGTTCAGGTCTAGACGCATTTCTCAGGGCCACCTCCTCCTGAAGTCCCCTGGCCTTCAACTGAACGCTGTCCTTTGCACCCGTGCCACCTCTCAGCACGGCTTACTTTCTCAGGGGCTGGAATCTTATCTGTCACTGTGAGCCCCGGAGGGCAGGAGCCACGGCCACCCGAGGAGGGTAGCACTCAAAGACCACATGCCCGCCCACTGCTGGGGGCCAAGGCCAGGACACAAGCAAGGGGCACCGAAGACGGCCTTCTGGCTGAGCGAGGACATGGAAGAAACAGCTCTGAATGTTGGCTATGGACAGAGGTCCGCAGTGACCTCGGAGGTGCTTAATGCTGTCGACTAAATAAAAAACTAACAAAACTAGTGCCTTTTAAAAACACACAGGAGTGTAATGGGCAAGAAACCACTGTCTGCCTACAACTGTGGTAGCCCAGGCCTACATGTATTTTTGTCCGAGTTACATCTCGTGTTTCAAAAGGGCACTAAAATCTGAAAAGAAAATGAAAACCTCAAAGCCCAGATATTAAAACTCCTGCTGCTAACTATAGACACACTTATCAGACGCCCATGGACAGGAGAGCCTGTCTCCGGCCGGCGAGAGGCGAGGGCACAGCAGGAGGCTGGCTGTGGGCGACGAGGCTCTCCCACCGGCCCTGCAGCCGGGATGCAGGGGCACGGTCAAGGGCACACGGTGGGCCCCGTTTCCCACGCCTCGTCTCCATCCCCGTCGTCCTCTCGAGCCCTGGGCTCACTCCAACAACTGACACACCGTTTCCGCCTGGAAAACCAACGGGCGCCTCGGCCCTAACGCGTAGACCAGAACGGTTTCCGCTCCCTGCCCGGCCCGCCCAGCCCTCTGCCGGACCCGACCTTCCTTCCGCTTTCTTCGCCTCGGTCCGCCCAGCTGCTCGCGCCCCAAGCCTAGAAGCAGCCCTGACTGCCCGTGCCCCTCACCTACCTGCTAGCTAACCTTCAGCCCCGCACTATGACCAGGGTTTGGGCGTGTCTCTCCATCCCCACCGCTGCCTCCTGAATGTCACACTGTCATCTGGTCGGGACCACTGCGATGGCTCCTAACAAGTCCACCTGCTCCCGCTTTTCCTCACTCCTCTCTGACTCCACACAGCGGGCAGAGGTCTAAACGCAGACCAGACCTTGTCACTCTCAGCCTAAGACCCTCCAGGGGCTTCTGGCTACACGCAGAGCCGACGCCTGACCGCTTCCACGGCCTCCGAGGGCCGGAATGATCGGCCCTGCGCCTCCGCCTCGTCTCCTCCGTGCGATTCTCAGCTGTGCCCCCTGGTGTGCGTGCGTGTACACGTGCGGCGCGCGTGTAAGTATGCTGTGCTCTTCTCTCCCTCCCAGACCTTTTCAGTGGCCGGTGCCTTTGCCTGGAGAGCTCCTTCCTGTGTGTCGGTTCTGATCTCTCCACGTCCTCGCCAACACTTGCTGTTCTCTGCCTTTTTCTCTCTCGCCGTCCTAGCGAGTGTGGAGCAGTAAGTACCTCACCGTGGTTTCGATTCGCATTTCCCTGATCACGACTGATGCTCCGCATCTTTTCATAGACTTCCTGGCCACGTGTCTGTCTTTCCTGGGCGTACTGGAATACCAAGGTCTCCGATCTCTCCGGCAGGCCAAAGCTCTCCTGCTACCAGGCCTTCTCTTTCACGGCACACACGGTGATGGTACACTCGCCTGGGTAACTATTCCACTGACATCTGTTGCCCACTGGACTGTCTGCAGGGTGCCCATTTTCTGCTCACTACCGTATCCCCAGCATGCAGCACAGCGCCCGGCACGACAGTACCCAGTGTGGGCTCGGGGCCCAGTAGGGGCAGGCTGCTAAATCTCTTCTCCCCACTCTCATCAGCCCCAATAATATTTCTTGAACGAATGAATGAGTATGCTTTGTCTGGCATGGGTGAATTTAGATATGCTATCCCTATGCACTGTTTTAGGAAAAACAGGGACCCACAACTTCATGGGTGATGTCGGGGTTCTCCCTCGTTAGGGACAAGTGGAGACAGGGCCTCTGGGAGGCAGGCAGCCACCAGAGGGGGTGGGCTCAGGCTCTACAAAGACAGGGACCCACCTGCAATTCCAGAGCCGCCTTTTCTTGTTTGACTTTGAACAGGTTATATAATCTCTCCAAAGCTGTTTCCTTACACGCAAAATAATTACAGTAACAACTCAAAAGATCCAATAAAGCCGGATCTACTGACACCCCTGCTCGTGAAGGGCTCGCTAACTGTGAGTCTCCTTGCTCTCCTCCACTGAAGCTGTTTTCATGCAGGGAAAGGGCCTCTGGCATCTTCCAGGCTTATAAAGCCAGGAGGCATTCGGAATTCCCTCCCTCGTAAAATGCAGAAAATAAATTACATGGGGAGGCAGCACAGGTGCACAAGTTACTCAGCCCCTAGGAGCCTTTCGCAAGGCTCGCCTGAAAAAGAGGTTCGTGAAACCACCCCAGAGGACAGCTGTACGGATGGCAGTGACATCTGTAAGGAATCGGGACAGTGCCTGGCATCTGGGACCTACGGTAAACAAGAGCCACTGTCATCATACAGAAGAGGAGGCTGCAGAAGACTCTCGGCTTCGGCACGCCACCATCCTGGGTTCATGCACAGCACACCCCACCTGCTCCACGTCTGAGGCAGAGCACACCAAGCACGCACTGTGGCCGTACCGCCTGAGCACAGGCTGAATATCTCCACAACGTCACGCATGTTCCTTTGTTTCCAGACTTGGTGGAGACCCGCATTTGTTAAGCACCCACTGCGTGCTGGGAGCTCTTCTCAGTCAGGGGCCCTGTAGCACACACGAAGACAGGGAGCAAATAAACCCAGACTTGCACTGTGTCCTGCTGGCTCCGCTGGCTGTCGAAGGCCCCTGAAATCACATGCTGCATCCCAAGGCGGGCTGGTCAGCCCCACGCAGGGTCAGCGCTGACAGTGCCCCGAGATCACCGGGCAGTGCCTGGGGGCAGGGAGGCAGCACACCGCCTCTCCCGAGGCTGACGCGCAAGACCCCCGGGCAGACGCCATCGCTTCCTCCTGATGCTAAGTCCCCTGTCTCCAACTCCCTGGGCACAGCGACGTCCGGCCCTTCCTCGTGGACCCTGCCGGTTCCCCGGTGACTGGGGGAGGACAGGGGGAGTCCTCCCGTCCTGCCCCAGCAGCGGTCATTAAGATCCAACTGCGACAGAACAAAGGCCGTGTTTCCTTTGCTCACAAACTCTGCGAATGCAAACAGCACTGGCTCCCTGGGACCGCTCGGCTTCTTCTCCTGCTTTGTAACTCTGCTAACATGTCATACAGAAGACATGCAGGGGAAGACTCTGACTTTAATCCATACCTGGACATTCTTCAGTGACAGGCTTTTCTTCAGAGTCTTTTGAAGGATCTTGTGAAACTTTCTCAGAGGACATGGATTCTCTTGTCTTTGTGTTTGGTTCTGGTTCCAGCTTAGATCTAAAAATAAATAATTAGCAATCATGTGATTTACTTCAGCAACAGGATTCCGTCTGGGCAACACACGGGAGTCCCACGTGACGCCTGCATGCTCGTTCTGTGCCCCGCCCTGGAGAGCAGAGCCGCTGCCTCTGGGCCCGGTGACCACCCTGACACTTGCTAGCGGGGCACTTATGACAGACAACGCGCCGATGTCACCGTCTGCAGTGCGCCACAGGGCACCGGGGGCGCGGGGGAGGTCAGTATGTGCTGAGGGAAAGGCAGGGCCCGCCACGTACTGACACCGCACTCAACACGTGGGCAGGGAAGGCCGACTGTTCCACGTTCAACAAACCCAGGAAGCTGGTTGTTTTACACCAATACAAAAGTTTAAATATAAAAGTGCAAGCCTTTAAACACCCACTGGATGGAACCGACCTGTCTTAGGAACCCAGGCTTCTGCACGTGGTGCTGCCTCCGAGCTCCTCCCACGGCTGTGCTATGTTCCGCCTGCAGGGCTGGGCCCACCTCGCCTGCTCAGAGAGGCCTCCCCTGACTTTCCTATCTGGAAAAGGCCTCCGCCTGTGGCTGCAACACAGCGCCTGCCTGCCTGCTTCATGTGGTCACCGCAGTCCGGAATGACCTTGCTAGTTCATGTCTTTATCATCCACCCGGCTCCACCGCAGTGCACGTGTTTGCTGTGTGTAGCCCGACATGCTAGATGTGTGCCTGGCATTCAGTATTTCATAAATGTAGGCTGAATGAATGGATACTTTGTAACTGTCAGTAAAAGGCTAACAGGAGAGAAAAAAAGTCCGTTATGAAACAACGGGCCTTGTAATGGCTTTCCTGGAATCCACACGGCGCCATGAAGATTATAGGCAGAGAGCCAAAAAGATCTATGATCGAGTTCATGGTAGTAGGCAGAGAGGCTATGAATAAAAAGAACAATGTAAATACGTGTGAGGATGAATCTAATGCCAGCTGGCATTTACGGAGGGCTTACTACGTACCGGGCATTTTTCTAAGCATTTCACATGGACAAGTTTATTTGATGCCAGCCATCCCTACAAAGTGGGTACTAGTGCTAAAGACCTTTTAGCAGTGGAGGAAGCCGAGGTATATGGAAGTTAGTGGGCTGCCCAGGTCACAGGTCATATGTGGCTGTGTTTGTGACCACAAGGCCAGGCTCTGACAAGTGCTCCAAGGAGGGCACACCTGCCCCGGGTCCCACGAGCAGGGACTTCTGCGGTCAAACGCGTCCGAGAAAGCCGAGTCCAAGCTATACGGGTGTTTTACTCCATGACTCCTCAGAGCCTTTCTACACGAGAATACATTCTGGAGCTCCAGAAAGGATGTCTTTTCCAAATATCCTGGCCGCAGAGACCATTCTCATGGAGTTTTATTTTTTTCCCCAAAGGACCCGAGTTCCCAGAAAGGCTGCTCTGCAGCATCAATCCAGTAACTAGTGCTGATTCTGGGAGGTGCTGTGGACGGGGAGGACTCAGGGAGTCTAGAAAGGTCAGCAGGGCAGAGGGCGGGTGGCAGCCACAAGCTGCTCGCGTGGTGGGGAGCCTTCTCCTCGGCCATGCTGCTCAGCAGGACCAGCCTGCTGTCCTCTTGGGCTGTCTTATCTGATGGGTTACCCCAGTGATTCCACGAATGACCTTGACAGTGGATACTGGGTCCTTCCTATACCCCTGGCTGACCGCCCAAGAAGCACTTGGACTTGGGCTTGAATTCTAGTCTGCCACTTCCTTGCAGTGTGACCTCCAGTTCTCCCACGTATCAGGGTTTTTAAATTCCCCTTGAGTTCCTTCATCTGCAAAACGGAGAAAACGGTGCTGGGCCAGCTTCCGTCTCCGCGAAGTGGTTCCCGGCACCTTTCATTCCAACCCGACACCCTGGGGCACTCCAGCTTTCTCCCTTTCCCTTCTTGAATGATGGGACCCCTGGCTTCCAGCACCCTTCCCATCACATCTGCCAAAGATATTGCGAAGACTAACTGAAACCGTGGACCGGAAACAGTACCAGGTAAAACGTACGTACTTTACGAATTCTTACTATGACCAATTCAGTGTTGAAAGTGCTGAGGTGCACAGGGTACGTGTCACGCAGCAGGATCTTGAAAGAGGAGTGAGATTCTGACAGGCGCAAAGGGCAGAGAGCTTAGCCTGGGCCTCGGGAACCTGCTGGAATGGAACTTCTAGGTCACAGGATGGCCGTTTAACTTTGCAGAATCACTCGGCTGTTTCCGTTAAGATCATTTTATGCTCCCACAGCCATGGGGGAGAGAGCCAGGTGCCCCGCATCTGCCGTGTGCATTTTAGCCATTCCGATGAGTGAGATGGGCTACTGTGTGTGTGTTTTATTTTCTTGTGAAACAATCACACAGAAAAGTTCACAGTACAAAGAACCCTTTCTCCCGAGCCGTTGCAGAAGCAGCCGACCTGACGCCCCTGACCTCTGATGTCTTAGTATTCTCTAAACACTAGGGCACTCTGCGACACAACCAGAATATGACCCTCAAAATCAGGAAACTCACATCCATGAACTACTCCCATCCTTTCCCCACGCCCCATTCTATTCTGACCAGTTATCGCAATAATCCGGTTTAGGATCACATTGCATCTGACATCATTTACTTGGTCTCCTTCAGTCCGGAAGGGTTCTTCAGTCTTCCCCTGAGTTTCATGACCTTGGTACATAATAATGTGCCAGTTCCTCTATATTACAGCGGCCCCCAACCTTTGTGGCACCAGGGGCCAGTGCTGCTATGAGCATCTATTGACTGATGGTCTGAGGCGGAGCTGAGGCGGTGATGCTGGCACTGGGGAGCGGCTGCAGATACAGATGAAGCTTCGCTCAGCCGCCCGCCGCTCACCTCCTGCTGTGCGGCCTGGTTCCTAACAGGCCACAGGCTACTACTGGTCTGCGACCCGGAGATTGGGGACCCCTGCTCTATAAGACACCCCTCAATTTGCCTTTGTCTGCCCTTTGCTTGTGGTTGGATTCAGGTTAAGCATCTCTGGTATTAAAAAATAAGTGAAACTCTTCACATTCTTCTTGGATCCTGTCAGGTTGTGTGACTTCACTGTGATCACTCGATTAAGGGTGGTGGCTGCCAGGCTTCCCCACAGTAGAGCAACTCCTTCCCCCTCTGTCATTAATCAGGACAGGGGAGAGAGTGCTTTGACACTATGGAACCGTCAATTTCAAGCTCTCCATTTATTCATTTATTTATTTCTATCTACATGGGTTCATGATGTCCTATTTTAATCAATGGGTTATAATCTGCTACTATCATTTATTTTAATGCTCAAATTGTCTCCAGCTCGGCCAGCAGAAGCCCCTTCAAAAGGCTTTGTGTCCCTTTTGCATGTCCTATCATTTTCTGAGCCCTTCCTCGTTTTCCAGGACAACGAAATGTCCCAGGCTCATTTTACACTCTCCCTGCCCCAGAGTCAGTCACTTCTCCAAGGAGTCATGGCTCCTGGAAGCTGAAACTGCTTTTCAGAAGCCAAGATCTGAGTGTGAAGTCTGCTTATTGCTGCTGGAGTGTCACTGCTTCCAGGCCCTCTCAGTGGACAGTGCCAGAAACATACGGATTCGTTTGCATACCTATACATACACACGCATCTGTAACCATATTCATTTTTATATCACCAGGTAAACTGCAAACCATGAGCTCACACCAGTATCTTTAACTACAATTCAACACCACAGGGCTCATTCTGGCTTCTTCCCCTTCACATATCCATCGTCCTGAGATATCTGCTTACTGGATCAGCCCCTCTGTGTATAAGCAACCCACCATCTCCACTGCCACCCCTCCCTGCTCTGGGGAACTCACCCTGTCACCACGCACACCCACCGTGCTCCGCCCCACACCTCAGCAGCACGACTGAATCGTCCACAAAGGGGAAGGGCTTAACTGGCTTTAAATAAAGGGCTTCTTTAATGTCTGTCGTCCTTTGTGCCCGGAGTAGCTAGTGTGCCAGTTTTCAATTTTAGGTGAACAGAAGGCTGCAATGCAGCAGACTTGGACAAAGTTGAGTGCTTTTTTTTTTAAATGATAAAAACAGATCTAATTATACACAGAACGTCTACTGAAATCCCTCAGGAAAATTACAAATTATCTAGTTGAAGGCGATTTGAAAAAAAAAGTCATTTTTAAAGTCATCAAAAAGATCAGTTTATGCCCCATGATTTATTTAAATTAATTTCTCTAACTGAAGGCTGAACATTTCATAACTGCAATCAACACAGTTTCTACCTGGCCACCATCTGTTTTCCAGGTCCCTTATTTGAAAAATCTTGAGATTTTATTTAAAATTTTAAAAGAACAAAAGGAGAAAGGAAAGAGGAAGAGAAACAGAGTTTTTCAGTTTTGGAACAAGAAACTATATGGGAGAGATTCTTTGCAAATCTTAAGGAAAGCCCTACACAAATATTAGAGAAAAATAATTCATATTCCAGGTTCAAGTGCAGCTCTGATATTTCTTTTACGTCCCCAATAAAGGCTCTAGGGAGAAAGAAGACATACTTGACATGTAATATGATAGGACTGTAATTTAGAAAGTGGCTTCCAACTTAGGTGTCCACTCGGGAGCAGGTACTGTGTGCTCCCACGGAGCAAGAAGCGTCTCACGCTGCCGTGATTAAGCCACCTGCACCATCGTCCACTCACTTGCGGCAGGTGTTTACTGGGTACACACCAGACACTAGGTGATTTTCAGGCCAGGGCTTCTCAAAGTGTGGTCCGTGAACCAGACCGCAAACCGTCAGCGGGCTGCTAGGAGGCAGGTGCGGCACTGAAGAGCAGCACTTAGAACATCTACACGACCTGACAGTACCCCCAAGTCAGTGGCCTCGTCTCCTGAGCAGGGTCCAGCCCAGGTCAGGCGTCATCGAACTACTGTGGCGGGTCACCTGACGGGGGAACCCGTCCTGCACGGTGGGAAACACACATCGGTCTGTGACGGACGGCAAAGAATGCACAACGAAAGACAGCCCTTCGCCTCGGAGAGCCTGCCTTCGCCAGGGGCCGGCACGCTTCTCACGTAAAAGGCCCGATGGTAAATATTTTAGGCTTTGGAAACCGCATGTGGTTTCTATTTTGTATTCCTTTTTCCTTTTGTTTTGCAAACCTTTAAAAATATAAAAACTGCTTAGCTTGAGGGCTGTAAAAAAGAGGCAAAGGGCTAGATTTGGCCCATGGGTCAGTCTGCTGATCCCTTTTGTAGACATGAGTAAGACCACTGTTCTGGGTACTGAAAAAGACAAGGTCAGGGGCAGGGGACCTGGACAGGGCACGGACTTTCCGCTATAGGACGAATGAGGTCTGGGGACCTGACGCACAGCACGGTGTCCACAGTTGCCAACACCGCATCACACAACGCGAAGGACCAGGGACCTCGCCACCTGGAAACCGTTCTCAGAGCAGCACTTACTCGGGGGACCAGCTTTCCTCAGAACAGCATAGCCAATTCTTACCTCTTCTGTCCTTTAGGATTCACAGCAGGGCGCACTAACGTCTGGTAATTCCCTTCAAGCTACAGTGACAAATTTGGCAGGTGCTGTAACGCGCGGCCCGTCCCCTGCCTGCTGTTCCATGAGCCACCCGGTGCTAGAAGAAACCGCTGTCTCTCGGGCAGGTATGGCTTATCTCTCGGGCGGGTATGGCTGTCTCTTGGGAGGGTAAGGCTTATCCTTCTCCAATCTCCCTCGGGACAATCTCCCTCGGGACGTCTGCACTCCTAAGAGCATCGTGTAACAGCGCAAGTGATGAGTTCCAACGATGGGCTGACGACCAGCAGGCCGTAAAGCATGGCTGGTCACGGGCAGTACAGAATCGGCAGCCTGCCGCTTGCTGAGAAAGAAAAGGCTACTCGGAGGGAAAGGCCTCGTTTTTTAAGTGTGGACTTCTACAAAGTTTATTCTGTCTCCACAGAACTAGCAGAAAAAGCTATCAGTGGTTAATTCCGATTTCCAGATTGCCACCTTTAACCGCTTCCCCAAGAAAAAGCCAATGCTACACAATGTGATTACTTTCTGGAAAGGGGAAATAGCTGACCAATTCAGATGTTTTTCAACTAGAGTATGTGCCCAGGAAGACACCTGGGGGTTATTTCAACTTAAGTCATAATCAAATATTAGTGCTTTACAGCGGCCAGGAAGATAAAGGGCATATTTCAAACCCTTTGAGATGACAAAGCCACCTGTGCCGATGTTGTGTCCAATAGTGGCCCACAGCCTTTCCAGTTTATAAGCTGTCACTGTCTAGTCCTGAGGAGCCAAGAAGGACTGGCTGTGCCCATTCCTTCCTCCACCCAAGAGCTACTAATTGAGCACCTACTCCGTGGCCACCAAGGCACCGGGACTACAGAGACGAGACCCCAGTGATAGTTACCAGCTCAAGGCCACTAGCAGCAGGTGTCGCCGTCGACTCATGCGGGGTCGCGGGGCGGGTGAAACGCGTCACATTTCACAACGGCGCCACCCTGAGAAAACAGCCATGATGGGAAGAGCGCAGAAACACCAGCTGAGGCTGCTCCTGGCAGATAAGCAAAGCACTTCCACCCGGTTCGGAGTAAGAGCCCTTCGGAATGGCAGATGAGCACGAGGCCACCGCGCTGCGAAATGAACACCCGCACAGAACGCCTTTCTTCTTAAACGGTGAAGCGACCTAAACAATCGGACTGCTCCTTAACCAACAAACATCCTTTTCTTTCACCAAGAACAAAACAAACACGATAGTAGCAAGAAACGTCATAAAACATGAGCGCCTGGGTTTCTCAAGTCTATTTTAGAAGAAATAGTTTTAGCTATAACCGTTACCAATCTAAAAATAAAAACAAAAACAAAGAACCCAGCCAATCAACTTGACAATGAACAAACTCCACTTAAAATGTGTCACTTAGGAAATGTGTCATTCACTCATTCAACAGTCCTTAATGGGGGCTTCCCCAGACCTAGGCGGGCCTCGTGCTGCATAACGGGGTGGGCTGGGCTGGTGACGGCAGCTCCCGCAGGGGGTACGTGCTACCCCGACCATGACAGTGTGCAGGGACCCACAGAGGAAGGAGCCACCATATGACACGGCCTACGGCAGTGGTAGCCCTCACAGAGCAGGTGACACCTTCACTGGGGCGGGAAGGGTAACGGGGGTTTGCCAGATGGACGGGGAGGGACAGAGACTTCACGTGAAGGGTGTTCAGGACAGAGAACTCAGCGAGAATTGGCGTCAGAGCCTCGAGGAACTAGCCCCTTCAGAACCCAAGTAGTCGAGTGTGGCTGGAGCATAAATCCAAGGGCTGCAGTCCAGCCGTCATGGGCCTCGAGTGCGTGCTGCGAAGTTGAGCCTTCGTAGGACATGGATGCGAAGAAGTGACAAAATTCTGTTTGGCAGGTCCACTCTGGAGCAAGGCGAGCAAAGCATGGAAGGGGGCTGGGTGCTCTGAGGAGGGTCACGCAGTTATCTCCCTCAAGGTCCTTTGCTCAGAGTAACTGGCACAGGGCAGCCACGTGGCAGGAGACGAGGCTGGGCTGCACTGTCTAAATGAGAACAATTCCCGTCTGACCGATCCTAATTTGTCAAAGCCTCTGCTGAGAACCAGGGACTGCGGAGGCGGCGGCAAAACCTCTTCTCGCTTTATTTGGGGTACTTGTTCAGTTTACTTGGGCTACTTGTTCAGTCTCAAGTGCTGGGGCCTGCCCACAGCAAGGAAGCAGACTGGCATCTCTCCCTCGGCGGGCAAGACCCGGGGACCAGTCGTCTCGATGGCAGGTGGCACGCCCTTGGAGGCCCACCTTCCCCTCCGAGACCCACCGCTCAGGCTGCCCACACTCCTCCTCCGGCGTGCACTGCCCCCTCCCTCTCTCACACGTCCCCAGTGGCTGTGCCTTCAGCAGCCAGCACGAGGACCTCGCCTGGGATACCCGCCCTATTGCCCTGGGGTTCAAGCTTTCCCCACACGCTCTGTGGTGCCAGGCCCGCCGCCCCCACTCTGCGAGCCCCAGTTTCCTGGGGGTGCTGCTATTTATTAACAGACTGCTGTGAGGCGTGAATGGGATCAATTGACATACTGCCTGGCACATGGTAAATGCTTAACAGTAGATACGAGCACAAGTTAACGTAGAGTAACCATTCGCTACCTGTTTCACCTGTATTGACTCATTTTGTGCCATCCAACAAGGTATTACGTATTTTTCCATTTTCCATACTGAGGAAACTAAGGCACAGAGGAGTCAAGCAACCTTCCCAAAGCCACACAGCTCGTAAGCGGCAAGGCCAGGATTTGAACACAGGCTGTCTGGCCGCAGAGTCTGTGCGCGGAGGCACGAGGCAAGGCTCCTCGCAGTAGCAGTTTCCCCTCTAAACTCGCTGCTGGCCTCACCGATGATGACATGTCCCGGCTGAGCTGGCTAATTCTTCACGTTTACGTAGCACCCGACCCATCTCTTGCTGCTCCCTGCCTGTGCTCTCGGGGCCTTGCGTAGTAAGTGGTTTTGCTGACAGATAACTTCGCTCACCCACTTACTGTCTCCCATAAACACTTCTATTGGCTGGTGTTTGCAATTTCAAAGCTGTTTCATGAACGTGCAGACACGTTAACACAGCAGGCCTGAGACTGCTCTCCCTAGCGAGGCCTGTTTGCAAGCTTGGCCTGGGGCTGCTGTCTGGGCCCCTGGACTTGGTTCCCAGCCCCCAGCTGCTGGAGGGGCATACTGTGCCCGAGCCGTGCAAACACTGTGGCTCATGCTGACGTCCGCTTTCTTCTGGGGCCTGGAGGTTCGGTTCACGCCAGGCAGCAGGTGCCTGTGTGACCGCCCCACGAAAATCCCTGAGCGGTGGGTCTCTAATGAGCTTCCTGGTGGACATTTCACACAGGTCGGCACAACTCCACTGGAGAGGACTCTGGACGCATGCGCCTTCTCTCTCTGCTGTTGGCTTTGTACCCTGTCCCTGCTAATAAGTCACAGCCATGAGGAGGGTTTCTGCTGAGTCCTGTAAATCCTCCTAGCAGAGCGCCAAATACAATAAGAATTCAGAAAATGTAGTCCCGAACAGTACGTACTGTTATCTTCAAAGAGAACACTCCAAAATCTTTCCAAAGTTATAAGTAACCAAGGGCCAGGGCCTGGACCCAGCTCTCCATGTTCATTTAGGGTCCAATCTCGGGCTGGCCGAGTGGCTGTGAGGACAGCAGCTCTGAGGACCCGGTCCTCGTGCTCTAGAAGCTGGCACACGGCCCAGTGGGGAGGACAGATGGGGGAACTGACAGGTGCCGGCTCCGCTGTGGCCTGGCTGTGTGGCCCTAGGCACATCATTTTACCTGCAGGGGCTTCAGTGTCCTCACCTGCAAAGGGGGCTCGCAACAGTATATGCACAAAATGGGGGTTGGGCGCTGAAGTGGGGTGCGTACCGGGAGCAGCTGGCGTGCAGGGAGCATGGGCAGGAGGGAAGAGCACGTCACAGCTGCCTGAGGAAGGCGTCCCGGGGAGCACTGCTGGCTGCGCACCAGCCCCCACCCCAGAACGCGCTCAGACACGGCAGGGAGGGAACATGGGGGGCGGAGAGACCCAGGTAAAGTGGCTAAAACTGCCAGCCCCAGAGGGTTATGAGACGACAGAGGGACCAGGAGCCCGGGCGCAGGCCGCAACTATGCTACCGCCTGGCGGCGGGCCTCAGGCGAGCCCACTGACTGCCCAAGCCACAGCCTCCCCGCCTGTAACATGAGGGTAAAAGCCACCTGCTCCGTGGGGTTGTCGTGAGCGAATGAAGCCGCTGGCACAGGGCCTGACACACGGTCAGTGCTGAACAAACACGATTCCAGCATCTGGTGGAGAAATCCCAGCCGGGCACACTGTGCAGCTTCAGCGCTCCGGATCAGTACTATTACTACTAACACGCATTAGGGAACCCGAGAGAGACAATACTTACAATCTCTTCTTATCCACCACGCGTTTAACTCGGATGGCTCTTTGTTCTGAGTAAAGTCTACACACTCCTGTTGCAGGGGAAACACCAGAACACAGACCGTTTAAAACCACTTCCAGGCAAAGGTAGCATTAAACATAACGCGACACTGTTTATTACTACTACTAACACGCGTTAAGGAACCCGAGAGAGACAATACTTACAATCTCTTCTTATCCACCACGCGTTTAACTCGGATGGCTCTTTGTTCTGAGTAAAGTCTACACACTCCTGTTGCAGGGGAAACACCAGAACACAGACCGTTTAAAACCACTTCCAGGCAAAGGTAGCATTAAACATAACGCGACACTGTGGCCTTCGGCTAGCGAAGCTCTACTTTGCACCACAGCTACCGTGAAATGCCACGTTCGACCTTTAAGCTAAAGTGCAATACTTTTTAAGTAATCTTCGACGAAATCCACGACGGCGGTCCTGTGCTCCTTCACTTGCTGGGAGGGCACGTCCTTGTGGGCTGCAAGAGAGAACGACAGCGCTCAGCTTCCCGTGCCAACGTCAGCCTCCTCACGACGGGTTCTTACTGAAATTACTGTTTAAAATGCATCTGGAAAACGAGTCTGGTGTCAGTGACGTTACATTTTCAAAACAGCAGGCTTTACGAGATGGACATAGAGCCTGGAGAAAACCCATAGCCGAGCCGTTCCAGGGGCCTGGCGACACGGAGCAACCGTGTGTGGGGCGGCCCACTTCTTGAGAGCCGGCCTGGTTTGTGTTAATGGGATCTAAGGCTCAAGCTGACCTTCAGGTGACATGTTCAAGTCACACTCAAGCCACACACTCCTCCTGCCTGGGCCAGTGCTGTTGCTTGCTTGGAATGCCCCGTCCGCTGCCTTCAGCCACTCACATTCGGGGGCCTCACACTGCGTCAGAGCCCCCTCCTCCAGGAAGCGTTCCGTGGCTCCTAGCCCCAAGGACGCCCTTCTTCTGCACACTGTGGCATCGCCTAAGAGTTGAGGCCATTTATTTTGCTAGACAGCTGTCGTTTATTGAGAGGCTGGGTGCGTCCTGTGCACAGGCACCTGCTACTGCGTTACATGTAGCACTGCTAAGAATCCAAAGGACCCGCAAGCAATTACGATCACGCCTGTTTTACATATGAGGAAACCAAGGTTCAGGGACTATGTGTAACGCAAGGCCACAGGCTTTGGCACTTAACTGCTGGCGGCACGAACGTCTGTGGGCCTTCCCTCGGGTGTCCCCGTGAATGAAGGGCGGGGCCTTGGCCACCTGCGGGCCACGGGAGGGCTGCACCCCCATCACTCTCCCCGTGGTCCTTCGGGCTCTGCTGGAACTTCTCAACCGTGTCAAGGGCACAGGAGCAACTGGCCGCTCTAAGCCCTACGCTATTTCACACGCTCTGTACCTGCCTGAGCAAATCAGAAAAGAAGCGAGGAGGAGACACGACTTGGGAACCATGTCGGTGCCTCAGTCGGAATTAAACGTCCCTGAACGAGAGCTGAAGCAATGCTAAGCATGCTACGGGAATCCGATTTCACAGCAGCCCTGAGAGGGACACGCTGCAATGCTCTCCACTTCACAGATGCAGGGACCGAGGCCCAGCGCAGTTAAGTGACCTGCTTGCGGCCACGTGGCTAGAACCCAGGAGACCTGGGGCGGGTACCGCAGCAACCAGGGCCCTGGAGCCTTCCTCTTGCCCACGAGAGTGCATTACTATCGTGCACTGCGAGGGCACGGGCAGAGAGCTTACGTCACCCTCTCTCTCCCCTGCTGCCCACACGTTCGCATCCGCGGCCCCGCTGAACGCCAGCGGGGCCCAGGCAGGCACGCGCGCACACGGGCTCACGCACACACACGCTGTTTGCCTGTTCTCAGTTCTGTCTGGAGAGGTCTTTTCTGCCTCCTTCCTCCCATTTATTTAACTTGAATCATGGCCTTTTCATTAGTTTTAACAGCTTCAGCTAAAACACTGACCAGGAGAAGGAGGATTTTAAAGTTTTAAAACCTGAACCGAAGTAAGAACACAGAGAGGGAGCCTTCGCTGGCTGTGCCACGAGAGCCCGGGCGCCGAGCGGAGCCGTGGGCGTCCGCCTCACCTTGACCTCGCAGCTGCTGGATTGCTTCTGAGCAGGTCCTCATGAAGGTCTGGGCGTCCTGGTCTATCTGGTCTCGTTCCGTGTCTGTCATCCTCCCATACTCGGACACGATATGGCTGCGGAGGGGGGCGGGGGGGAGAGAGACAAAATGAAACGAGCAAAGGGCAGCGAGCGTCTGAGCGGGGTGTGCAGGGACACACGGCTTCCCTGTGGCAGTGACACTGAAGCTGACACTGAACAGGTGAGAAGCAGCTGCCGGGCTGACAGGTGGGAGAATGGTCCAGACAGGGCAACCAGTACTTGAAAAGGCTGTCAGGCAGGAGAAGCTTCCTGCGGAGACCAAACGGGGCAGGCGCGTCCGGACAGCGAGCGAGCGAGCGGGGCGCGGAGAGGCCATGTCAGGCATGGCGGCTTTGACATGGCGCGACGGGGCAGGACGGGGACAGACGGAGATGTGCCCTGGGACCGCCCAGGTGCCACCCGGAGAATGACCGGGCAGTACTGGGAGGCTCCTCGGAGGCTCGTGAGAAGCCACTTTCCCCATGTCAACAAGCAGTCTTCGAAACTCACAATAAAGGAGCTTTGAGAAACACATTTCGTTTCCCCTGAAGTCACTGAGCTAGTGGGGGTGCTCGCTTTCAGTAGCACAGCACCCCGAAGCTCAGCATACGGTGGCGGTATCTCCCCGCTCACCCTCCCGACGCTCAGGCGGGTGCGGCAGCTTTGTCACTGGCACTGATGCCGTTTGCCTAATCAAACGCTGGACATTACAGCGGAAATCAGCATGACCAACTACCAAGTCACAGGGAACTCAGAACACGTAGAGACTCAAATCATTCCATTCCCCCCACCAGCCCCCGCCCTCACTGATAATACTTGGCCCTGATCCCGCACCCCCACCTGTGACCGTACTTCCTGCCACACACCTCGCTCACTGCACTCCAGGCACACTGGCCTCCCTGCTGTCCCCACGTCGGCCACGCCCCTGCCACAGCGTGGCGTGCTCTCCCGGCAGACGTCCGCGGCCTCCGCTCAGAGGCCTGACAGCGCGGCCTCCCCCGGCCGCCCTCCGTGCTGGCCTCCGCCTGCCACCTCTGCTCTTCCGTGCTGTGCAATCACCACGCTGTCATCTCTCGTCTCCAAGGCCACCCTCCTGCATTGCTTTGCGGCCCGGGGCTGGGGCTCTCCGAGTCCTACTGCTGCTCTGCTGCCCCGTGCCCCCTCCTCCCACGAGCCTCCTGGAAGCACGGCTCCGTCCCGCTCATTCGTGTCGTGTCCCCAGTACGAAGACGAAGGCGGTGCGGGCACGCAGTGGGCGCACTAGGCTCAGCCGAGCACGGAGAATACGCCGGCACCGTTCTCTGCCCCGCGCGTGGTTTTAATTTACTTATCCGGTCCTTGCAGCCCACGCATGCACACAAACACCACCCCACACAAACGTCAGCCCCTGCGGCTGGGCTGAGGGTTCAAAGTTGAACAGGGCTCATTTCTGACCCCCACATGACAGGGGAGGCCGACACAGAAACAGGGAGCATGAGGAACGGCGGTGACGGTGCTGGTCTGGAAGTGGATGGTGGGGCCCAGGGGGTAGTGGTGAGTTGGTGGCGGGGAGGTACCAGGCAGGCAGCGAGGAAGACACGCCACAAGGAGAGCCAGAGACCTGCGGGTCCTGGCTGGAATGACCACAGCAGGTGGGGTCCCTGCCAGGACACGTCTGAGAGGGGAGGGAAAACAGGAGTAAACCGGTGGCCCCTGCAAACCGAGCGTCCTTGCTACGGCCTCTGGGGCCCCTGAATTACATCAAGGGACAGCACAGCATATGCACACGTGCATGCGTGTATCACAGATGTACTCAATGTGTCCACCTGTGTCCCCACTATTTTTCGAAAGAACGTAAATGGTATGATGATGAATAAGTAAGTACATCTCTATCTAAAATGCTCACTGAATCGCACATGGCTGCTTTTCTAGTATCGACAGCTTTCCCAAAAACACAACAATCATATAAAAGACAAATATTCCACTATCACTGGAAAGGAGCCTTGCAGTACAGAAGCTGGGGACCGCTTACTTAGCCGACTGGAGGATTTTAAACAGAGGGACCTGCATTTTGCATGGGTTCCTCGTGGCGGCTGGCCTGCAGACAGATGACACGCCAGTGCAGCGTCCAGGAAGAGATGACGAAAGCCTGGGCTGAGACCTCATCAGGGGAGAGAGGAGGCACAGCCTGAGACACATGTAATAGGTAACGTGACCGGCAGGGCGTGGACGTAAATGAGGAGAAGCCTAGGATACAGAGCACGGACGATGACACAGGTGTGGAAGGAAAGGGGTAGGCGCTGGCCAAAGATAGCACCCCAAGTTCAGAACATGTCAGATGAGGAGATGGAGCAACCCAAAGAAGGGCTCGGGCTCTTATTTTTCTGGGACATTTTAAGAACGGCACTAGAGATATAATGAGCATTAGAAACAAATTCATCAAAAGTAATGAATGCTTGCTGGTGACAGATTCCCAAATTAAGTATCACAATAACAAAATTCTCATGATTTTGAAAAGGTTAACTATCTGAGCAATAATTCCAAAAAATATATTCTCATAGGATGTGCATACATAAATTTATCAAGCTTTAATTTTATTTCCTTTATGATGTAAGAGGAATAATTTTATTACAGATCTCAATGCATCTAAGTATTAGATTCAGTTAAAAGAGACTGTTAGGTATAGGTTTGGATTAGCCAATTTACTTCAGGAAGAAAGGAGAAAAAAAGTGGATAGTTTATTTACTGGTTCAGAAATTTAAAGGAATATTTGCTTATTATTTCATTGATTAGAATATTAAGGAAGTTCAAAATCACAAAATACCAATATTTGCCTGTTGATTTAATATGCAACTAGATATTTCCTGAGGATAGAGAGGAGAGAATACTATTTCATTTTACACTCTGTTCATAAGCTACTGAAAAGGTATGGACAAAAGTTAAAGACTACAATCTTATTTTTACTATAAATAGTAACAGATTAACATCACAGCGTGTACTGGGCATATACTATGGGCAAGGTACTATACAATGCTATTGCCCACAGTATATGCGCAATACATGTTATAAAATTAAACTGTTACTATCTACAGACATAAAATATAGACTGTGCTCTCAATAAACTATATAACAGGCAAGAACCACAGGTTTGTGTACGTGCTACATCATAGGACAAAGGCTAACGGTTATGTAACTATGTAACATCTTCCATGCATTAACACTACCCATTGTTCTAAGTCTTTCAGGTATATTTACCCACTTAATACTCGAAATTCTATGAGGTAGGTACTATTAGAATTTCCATTTTACACACGATGCAACTATGACACAGAGAGGTTAAGTAACTTGCCAAGGTCACACAGCAAGTAACTAGCAGAGTTGGGATTTGAAGCAAGGCACCCCAGCTCTGGGGTCCATACTTCTCACCACGAGCCAGGGGACCGCTCGCGTCATAATAGGTAGGGGGCGTTCAGAAGGAGAGGGGATGCTTCCTTCCCACTCGTCGCCTGGGAGGAAAGTGATCTATGAACACAACCTTGAAAGGCAGGATGTGGCCGTGGGAACACAAGCAGAAATACTCTGTGTTAAGTACCAGAATGGAATCAGGGGAGGGAGCCTGTCTGGACAGCAGCCGGCGCTTCGGTTTGGCTGGGGCACGGGGCAGGTGAAGGGGTGAGCTCTTGGTGGGCTTCCAGCGCAGGTCAAAGGAGTTTTATTCTGTAGCCAGTGGCAGGGCTGAGCTTGGCAGAGATAAATGTGGCAATACTGCATTCAATGGAAAGAGGAGGAAGCTCAGGCAACAGTGATCGAAACTGGGCGAAGGATCCTGCTTAGTCATCTTTGTACCCCGAGCAGCACGTATCAGGTAAGTGCCGATAAATTGATGCTGAACTGAAACGTCAGAAGGGGCACTGGCTGAGTGTGAGCGGTAGCAGAGACTCGAAAGACGGAATGATTCTGAGATATAAAGTCTCAGGAGCGAGACAGATGACGGCAGCAAAGCATCATCGGACCCTGAGATTTGGGGCCTGGGTGAGCAAGGTATTAAGAGAAACAACACAGAAGGGAGAGAAGAACTGGAAATGGGAAAGGAAGAAACCACTATTAACACCGGTCCTTCTAATGCGATTTAAAAGGAGAGAGGCAATGCTCTTGGGACCAAATGTTCCATGACTAGCACTTTATCTTAAAAAAAGAAACCAGGGCAAATGGCCTTCTAACCATTTTGTGCTAAAGTCTGGAGAAACTGAAGAGACTTTAAGAAATAAAGGACTGCTTTCTGAAGTGCTATCACCTGTTCAGGGGAAAGGAGAAAGTCACTGTGACACACGTGACGAGGGCCACGGGGTTGAGGCAGGCCCGAGGCTACTAACACTCGCCACGCCTGATCAAGAGTAAGAATCTAGTGCAGTCTAGAACTCGTCGTGACGGGCTGCTTCCATGACAGGCACGCAGGAATGTTTGGTTGCCAGGGTCTGGGCTAGTGGATCTGACCCCGTTGATCCTAATCTCTGTGGGGCGTAGAAGCCTGGCTGCCGGACGAACGCTGGGGTGGGAAGCAATGGGAAGACCCATTTGGCGTTACGGCAGAGATGGAGGAGACCGGTCAGAGAGAGACGCAGGAGTTAACGGCTCACTGTCCCAGAAAGAGATCAAACATTGGCATCACCATGATTACTAACCTCGGGTGGTACCTGCCAATGACGCTGTAGGCCCCACGCGTGTGCTTTCCCTCTCTGCGAGATGACCGTGTCCTACCTCCCCCACGTTCCTCAAACTCCAACACCTTCCTCCCACTCTCCAGGGTCAGGGAGAACTTTGCTTCCTGTTTTCTGAGAACTCCTGCGAGCTCCCACTTCACCGCGTCTCCCCACCTCCCTTCCTCTGGGTCCCCAGACTCTGCCTTTTCTCTGCTACACTGGATCAGGTGCCCGTCTCCTAGCTGCGCCCCTCCGCCTGGGCACTGGGTTGGCCCCAGCGATTCGCGTCTCTCTCCTGCACCATCGGCATTAAATCCTTAAATGAATGAACATGTGCACGTGCTCAGTCAGTGTCTGGCACGCGGTGAATACTACATGCACTAGTTACTGACAATACCAGTGTTTTTCCCGTCTGCTGGGCCTTTCCTAGCAACATACAAACACCATGTTTGTTATTTCTTCCAACTCAAAAAACAAAACAAAACCTCTCAACTCCACGTCTCCTACTAGCTTCTGCCCAATTTCTCCCCTTCTGAGTAAAACTTCTCTAAGATGCCCAAGTCTCCATTTTCCTTACCATTCTCTGCGTCCTGACGACAGGCCCGTCCCAAAGAGAAGAGGGAGCGACGAAGCCGAAGCCCCAGTCCCAGTCATGGGCTAAGTCTCCACTCTGCTTCCGCCCTGGCCCAACCCCCAGCTTTCTGGGAGAGATGGAAGGTGGGAAGGAAGCCCCGGTTCCTGGGGAACGGACGGGCCTCCCTCTGTGCAACCTGAGAAGCGAGAGAGAAGTATTTCCCTATCCCAACACCCCCGGCTTAACACGGAACCCTGACAGAATGTACTCGACCTGAGGCAGCCGACCCCACACCCCAAAGTGGGGAAGCGGGGCTGAGCAAGCATGCTCCATCTCCGCCCAGGCTGATCCCCATGGGAGGAGGGGGAGTGGTGAGCAGGGGGGCCAGGAACCTTGAGCTAGACATCAGCACTTCAGATATGGAGGCTTAAGGGGTCAGGGACAAACAAACAGGAAATAAGGCATTCGCTTCATGTGAATACGCACTCCTGGTCAGAGCAGCCCTAAAAAAGACTAACTCCGACAACATGAGATTGGCATCTTCCCACACTACGTCTCAATTTAACGGCACCTCAGCTCAGTGAAACGGAAAAGGCCTAAAGGTGAACTTGATAAAACCGATCAGGTAAAAGACGATGTCCCTTGAGGACGCGTTCCACATTAACCTTTCGAGCGGGAAATTCACAGTACGGTTATTCTATTAGTAACGACAACAGAAACCAAGCAAATTTCCCCCAACTGGTATTGTTTTGTTGCCAGGATATTGCAGAAAAGTACATGTACCAGAGCGGAGAAATTATTTTTAAATTAAATCATTCGAGAGACCAAGCCGGAGGCTACCTAGGTTACGTGCTGTCCTGCTCTAGTAAAATGTCATTATTCAAAAATATTAAATGGGTCAAGAAAGTCTGAGCTCTGCATTACGGAAAAAATTACAGCTTCCTAATTACGTCAGACTAACACGGCCTTCCGGGCCACAGGCAGTGCTTCCAGACATATTCTTTCAATCCCACCGTCATATTCTATCCGAAACGCTCCTAGGAGCAGGCCAAGGCCAGCGCAGTGCTCGGGGAGGCAGGAGTGGCAGAAAGGAAGGCTTTACATACACAGTCCGCTGGCCCTTGGAGGGGGAGCCGTTCCCCGTCCTGGGCCATCGAGCGGAATGCTTATGCCCCGTCCTCCTGTTTCTATGCGAATCGGCTCTCCCAGGATGACACTCAGCCCCGCCTTCCTTCAGTCCTCTCCCCACCCACCACTCCCATGGGAGGGGGAGGGACTTCTCTGACAACCGGCAGAAGGAACTGGGCCTGGACATGGATGCGAGCATCCATGAACACACACGCTCTTTGGGGTCTGCCTGCTTAGACACAGAGGTTCTGCTCTGTTCCTCTCAAGTGCTGTCTCTGCCCCAGGAACTGTGACTATTCAGTGGCACCAACGGTGAGTCTCATTTTGGAGCCCTCATCAAGGCCACCCACCCGCAGCCCTGAGCTCTGCCTGCCGCTCCAGATTTTACCAGTGATAAAACCGATAACCAGACTCCTGCATCCCATCTCTCTCTCCCTCCCTCCCATCTCTCTCTAGCGGAAAACAGAGGCGCTTTCTTTTTTAAATGACCACCCCCCAACTGCATCCCAGGTAGAGCGGGGTTCCAATTCAATGAGCTTCACCAAGCGGCTTGTATGTGCCAGGAACTCTCACACGGCTCTAGGAACATTACCCACATTTTACAAAGAAATAAGGAGCAGATATGACGTGAGCTGCACGTGGTACCAGGCAGAGCTACGGCTGCATGTCAGGTGTGGCTGACCCCAGAGCCCACGCTCTTTCAAAGGGACTGAATCAGGGCGAGCAATGGAGCTCAGCGGACGTGAGTTGGCAATGACCGGCTGCGACTGGAAAAAAGACTTAAGAACTGCATTTCTATGAAGGGGTGATGGACTGGCCCCAGGAGCGACAGGTCGACCTGACGCTTAGTCACAGCTTTATGTAGGGGGCAGAGCTGTCACCGATGCAGGGAGAGGGGAGGGCTTAGGCCCGTGGCCCACTATGCTGAGGGACATCAGGGCAGAGGACTTGGAGTGAGTCCGGGCCACAGTGGCCTGGGAGCACGGACGCACTGTGTGGGAGCTGAGCTGTGCCGTCAAGAACTGTCCTAGCGCTACCTTAATCGAAAGGTTAGTGACTGCGAAGTTACAGGAGAGCACGCTGACACAGTGGCCCTTTTATAAAGCCGCCGCTTTCCCTTTCTGCCCCGCATTTCAATTATATCGTCACGTTTGAACGTCCCGACTAGCTGCCATTATTTAGAGCAGGGCTCTGCAAACTTTTTCCGAAAAAGTCCAGAGAGTAAATACGTGAGACTTCGCAGGCCACGCAGTCTGTCACACACCCTCAACCCTGCTGCTGTGGCACCAAAGCAGCCAAAGATGTTTACGAACTGATCGGCGTGGCGGAAATCCAACACGCTTTACCAACGGACACTGAAATCTGAGTTTCGTGTAATTTTCCTCTGTGGTCAAACATTATTTCCCCCCAGCCATTTAAAAAGGTAAAAACTACTCTTAGCTCCCAGGCTGTCAAACGCAGGCGCCGGGCTGGACCAGGCCTGCCGGCTGTCGTTTGCTGAGCCCTAGTCTGGAGGAAGACAATGGGTTTTACAGGTTAAATGACTTCCTCGGTTGCACACAGCTAATAAGGGGCTGGGTGGCTTGAGCCAAACCAAGAGTCAAAGTCAGCAACAGTCGCCAAGCTGGATGCCTTTTCAAGGCGAGAGGACATTAACAATGGACTTTCATGAAAGAATGACAGCCACACCTGTCACCTAAGTTGTCAGGCACTAAACAAAGGAGCTGGAGACTGGTGATTTATACCAGTGTGGTTTGGCTTTCCAAAATGACCGTAGCTTCCACTTTTATGGACTGTAAAATCAGTATCTGATGCACAAACATACCGTTAGAAATAAAATTTACACTGCCATCTAGTGTTCGCCAACTATTTAAACTAAGAACTTAAAAATGAGGTCTTTTTGGTATATGCATTAGAATGATGATTTTAGTATATTCCAAAATTATACAAATGAAATACACTTAAAAGTATAAAGTTGCCTATATTTTTAAAGTAGACAAAGCGGCAGGGATTATTTCAAATTCACCTGAGGTATAATTATTTTCTCTGTTACAGAATTTATGTTAAGCATTTTCATTTCTGCATATCTGGACAAGGCTCTTTAAATCTCTTTTATATCCCCCACCTTTGCAAGAGGACGGCTTCTGAGGTGCGAACACCACGACACAGCCCTTAGCAGCTGCTCCCAGTGACACCGTCTCGTACGCCCCGTCCGGCTTTCCGGCAACTTACGTAGCGCAAGCGAAGCTGCGTCCCGTGGCAGGAGCCGAGCTGCGGCCAGGTGTCTGCACTGCCGCGCCCGTGTCTGCCCAGCGCTGGGTCTAGTCCAGAAGCTATTTTGGAAACCTCCATCAGATGCTCTCTCTTTAAAAGTCACCCTGACCATGACCCTCACTGGAGGCAAGGGCGCATCTCTCCAAATGGCATTTTCATGTGACTTGAATCATCCCTTCATCTGACTAATAAATATGTATCGGGTGAGAAGCTGTCCCATCAACCTCTGCATGTTCACAACATGGATGGTACACGCAGAGATGCAAACGCATCGGTGTCTCAGAACAGAAGACACTGCAGTGGGGACGTGGTGACTGGGGACATGGGGTGTGGCGGAGCCCACCCTGGCTACGGGGGCTCCCTGTTGCTCTGTAGGTGCCACTGCCAAACTCATCTTCCCCATAACAACTGTGAGTTATTTTTAAAAAGCTAGAACAAAAAGCTCAAATGGAATACAGGTATGGGAAAGAACACAGTCTGCAAAGTCGTGGTAAAAAATATGCACTTACCTATAAGCATTAATATAATCTTTCCTGTGTTCCAGAAGAAAATCTCTCAGTTTTCCAATGTGTGAAATCTAAAATTAAAAAAAACAAACAGTTTATGTAGATAGTATGTTACAATCACATGTAATAAATTTTAAATTAATAGAGAATGGAGTGCAGGTTGTAGAAAGATTTTGAAGCTAAAAACTGGACAACTTTCGTTTTAGACTCTCGTATAATCACTAACTTTCTGGGTGACTTCCCCAAAGTCACCGGC